TGCCTCCCATGAATTACGTGACTTCTGTGTGGCCACCCACAGTCTGACCCCCCCCCCCCTCTCTCTCCCCACCCTCTGTGAAAACGAACACCTCTCCTAAGTGCAGCTGACTTCACTTCTGCTCGCTCCTTCCTTCTCTCTCCCACTCTTCCCACCCCCCTCATCACTCTAATCATCCTCGACATCTTGACCCGGTCATTTCTTCTCCCCCTCCTCCCCTTCCTGCTTGGCGCTTCTTCTTTCATCCTGCTGGCCACCTTGAGCCGCGCTCTCTTTGTCTGCTCTGTGGACTTCTGTCCCAGCAGCCCTTCCCTTCCCCGCTCATCTTGGCCCGTCTTTCCCTTTTGTGCAACTGCCTCTACTTCCCTTCCAGTTGCAGTGCCACGGGGTACGAAACTTTGTAAAATCCCACATTCCAACATTGGCTTTAATTAACGTGGTATAAAATTTTGCATAAAGGAAATATCCCAAGCATTTTGACTTGCTTAGTAAATATAGCTGGCTGTTACTGTGAGAGGGTTTTGAACTACTTGTCGGTGTGTCAACTGCAGCACTGCATTCTTAAACGTTTCCATTTATCTGTCCACTGAAATTGATGAAGCGGTGATGTAGTGGTCTATAAACCTGGTGTCCTGACTTCGATTCCCAACTATGAGGACGTCCATAAATGACGTCACGCACCTAGGGTGGGTGGGGGGGTCAGACATTTGTGACGATGTGTGACAAGGGGGTTTGAGAAATCTGACGTCACATCAAAATGCGCAACTTTAAATAAATATAGACAACAAGTTCTACTTAATTAGATAGACTTTTTAAATAAATGTTTTCTCCTACAACATCAGAGTACAGCACCACATTAAATACGCAACTACAATGACAATAGTTTAAAGCGATTTGAAGCATGTTTTATATATATACATTTTTTGGGGGGGTGGGGCAGAGCTTTGTGACGTCATTTTTGAGGGGGGGGGGGGTCTGTCCAAAATCGCGTGACGTCATTTATGGACGGCCCCTATGCCAACGAGTGGTGAGTGGTATTTGAAACTTATACGATTAAATCTGAATGCGCGTGTCAAGATATAAAAACAAAGTCAACTCTTTTTTTTATAATTGTACGAGCTTGTCTGCCCGTCCTAGAACAGGAAGCTGTAATATTTACGGGAAAAATTGAGCAGAGTATAATTGTATGTTGTGTAAATTTAATGGCAGTGAATCTTGCACGAAACTATGTAATCAAACACTTCACTGCAGTTCACTGTAGCGCTGTATTAATGACAGTGTTTCTTGCACGAAACTATGTCATAAAACACCTCACTTTGCGTCACTGTAGCACTGTATATAACTGACCTTGAATTTGTTCAAATTCACTGCTCTGATACTATATTCTCTTCTGCTTTCGGTCGCTGGGGTTGAAATAAATTGTTATTCCATGCAATATCTGGAAAATCACCGAGAAATGTTCTATTTTATCATAATGTGGGGAGCATAAATTAGACTTTTGTCTCAAGTGTTGATTAAATAAATAAAGACACCAAATCCACTTTGTTGCTGCGTATAATTATTTATTAGATTCACTTTCAATAAAGAAACGTAAAACTTAAAGCGAATTTGCGAAAAAAAAAAATTCCGCTCGACCTTCTTCTGCACGAGTGTAAAAATCCACCCGCTCATGAATATTCATGACGGGGGGGGGGGTGTGGCATGTGGAGTGACGTCACGTGCGTTACACACAGACGTCCTTGGCTTATTATAGTAGTAATATGCATATCTCAAATATAATTTTTTAAAAAATAGGTGACACACCTTGGTAAACTCCGTCAATCTAGACGTGTTTGACACAATCCAATTAATACAAGTTAATCATTCTCCTCCATTCACTTTGTATATATAGAGGGAGGGGGGGGTATTTACTTGTCATTTTTGTTCAGATACCCTAACACAAATGGACTTTGATCAGTGGAGTGTAGAGCAGGGATGTGCGGTCAGGGGAGGTAGGGGAGGCAGAGCCTCACCTGTCATACTCCAATGAAAATAGCTGTTACGAAAAGTAAAAAAAATATAATCAAATAAAATCAATATTAAGATTTTTACACTGATCTGTGTTATAAATGTCAATTCTGTACGATGCCAATTATTTTTATAGTCAAAATCGCCAAATTTGCGGAGCTCCGCTACAAATACAGCGAGAGACGAGAGGTGAGGCAGCGACGAGCTCAGCCTCCCCTCTGATTGCGCAACCCCTCAGTAACTGGATGGAGCGCGGGCAATAAGTGCGTGCCTGTTACTATCTCAGTATGTCACCAATGTAATGTTTGTAGACCCCTTTATTTCATATCCTCGACTTCCATACTCCAGGTAACTTATTTCACGTATGTGTATAAAGATATTTAGGCTCGCTGCAATGAAAAAGCACCAGGAGAGGCAGCTATCACATCTGCCTCACTGAGGAGGACATGTCTAACACGCCCCCTCAGTGAGGACACGCCCCCTCAATGAGGCCACGCCCCCTCTGTGAGGCCACGCCTCCCTCCATGTGTGAATCTAGCTCTGACACGAGCCAGTGCCTCCCCAGCCATTGACCTCACCGCACATCACTGGTGTAGAGAGCTACCCATCTATGATTAAGGGAGTTAGAATGATAAAGTGTAGCTATTAGGAGTGGAATGGTGGAATGGCAGTATGGAAGCTCTCCTACCTGCAGTAAAAAAGGGTACAGATGTCACCTATAGAAAGAGCTATATTCGAGTGAGCTAGAGAGCCCCTATAAAATGTATTTGGCCTACCCTTCCACGCTGCCAGGACATCTTGGCAGGGGTGTCAGTATCCACAATTTTACCCCACCATACATAACCTGCTGGTCGACTCAGAATGGCATATTAATTCACACTTTTGGGTGGACAGAGGAAGGGCATTTAATAAACTTGCACCATTGTTGCAACTGCGGCGTTGGGAAATCGAATCGAACTCGGAACCTCTAGATTGCAAGTCCAGTGTGCTAACCATTAACTATGACAGTAATGTGGGCAATACCCGTATGTTCGCAATATTGTGATTAGGGTAATTAATGTATACGACATTATTTATCCAGGTAAGCATCTAAAAGTCTTAAGACTGCAGAGTATGTTTCAACGTGATGTTTTGTACATGCGAGGAAAGTGTAGTACTCAGAGAAAACACACGCATACTCTTTGGTTCTATGGGGTAAAGTCACGTAGGTGAAAATAAAATAACAAAAAATCACGACGTTTCGGCCACAACACAAGCGGCCTTCATCAGGTGAAGGGACGAGACTGTCTGGAGGACAGCGCTGGAGTGAGAAAAGCCACGCTTAGATCACGACCTTTAAGCTGTGTGAGAAGAAAACAAAATGCCTTGACAAAGGGATTAGCATATAATTTAGCATTGAAATGGCTCATTGAAATAGCTAAGTTAAAGTATACACATCCGCAGAGGTACCCCTTGACGCACACAAGGAGATAATACTCAATGGTCCACAAAGATGAGTTCACAAACTATATGTCGTGACGCCATGCCTTATTCAGCCCAATGAAAGCATCACTAAGTCTCAGAACTCTTTCCAGGCATGGAATTTTTTTACCTTATCCTATTGGAACGTTTAATTATGGAAGGAAACCAGAATGTCCGAAAACAACACACGCATGCAAACGACACCCAAACTTCACACAGATCATAGTCACAGAGCCGCTTCATGTACTGGCTCACATGGGCACCCTGCAGGCATGTGTTTTGTATATACAAGGTAGTTCTATTTTTCACTGCATTAAACATTATTAATCGGTCATCTTTTCAAGAATCTCATTGTCGACAGGGCTCAAAAGTGTGAAGCGTGTTTTCTAATTACATCAGGCTCAGTACAATACTCGTTCTGCACAATACTACTACAGTTAATTTGTTTTAACCGAGGCAGCATTCTGTTGAAGGCAATAGTACAGTACAATATCTTTTCCGAGAATTAAACTGACGAAAATAAAGCCACAATTATATATAGAGAGAAAATCTAAACCATCTCCGATGTTCTGTTGACGTAGTCATTATACAAACCAATGGAAACAAACAACAGGAAATGAGTAAATAATAAAAAACGAAGGCTACATATCTGGGCTACAGACTAACGTGAGAAAACCATAAATATTGTTCAAGTTCACCCAATAAAATAATATACAGTTATGCAATGGTGCGAGAGATACAGCTGGAAACATAATACAGAGTACGTATGCAGTATTTTTGGGATATTTTTAAAGAATAAAATATCAAAAGAGTTAACCAAACAGCGAGAGCCAACCGGCTTGGAGTGCTTTTGGAAATTTTAATTTGTAAAAAAGAAAACGTAACTCAAGAATGCCATCGAAATTTTGACGCCATTACATTCTTGCGTGTGACAAAATGGTCAGGAGCTGAATGCCAATGTCGCGGGATCTGTGTGATAGCCACGACACTGCTGAAGGATATAGCTTGTTCAAGTTTTTTTTAAAGCATTAAAGTTTTACTGTTCCTTCCGTCGAGAAAGTACAGAACACGGTGGTTTACTCTGGTCTATCGGTTGGGTTGAATGGCCCACAATCGCGCTTTGCCTTATCTTTAATTTTCCATTCAGCTGCCAATGAAAGGTATAAAACAGAGTGGCGTAATTAGCTGATGGGAGTGCGTCAATTTTAGGGGCATCGGTTCATTACAAGAACACTCTGGCCAGAGACAGGCGTTGACATGCAGCGTCTAATCAGCAGGGTCTGACTTGCTCCAAGTCTTATTTCCAGTAGCCCTGTCTAGACCAGCAGAGAGAGCCAAAACCTATCCCTCGTTGAATGAGGACCTGAATTTGAAAGCAAACCGGTGGGGGTCGGGGGAGGGGAATTGAAAGCAAAGGGAGGAGGAGGAGCTGAAGTGAGTGCTGGGAGGTTGATGGGGGGGGCATTCAGTCGTGAGTATATGATGGGCGGGTAAGCATCGAGTGGGAGACACCCCTCCTCCTTGTACACGGCTCACAATCCCTTTTGTGCGCGTTGTGTCCGCGCTGGAGACGTGTTTTGTTCGCTTTCGTTGTACCTACCAACCTACCCGTTCGTAGGTGTGGGTAGATGTGATTGTATTTCTACTCTTCTGCGTTATTTTGTTGTTGTTGCTGCTGTGTTAGCCAAGGCATCAAACCGTAGCCTGGCTTTTACGTGCGTTCGTCCTTTCAACGCACCTGTTTGAATGTGTTTGTTGCCTTGCTTCGTGTTCAGGCTCGGACACGAACTCCGGTCGCCAGGTGCGCTCTAGGAACGCGTGAACGTCACCGTCGCATGTCCAGGTAAGCCACCGAGTACGCGTGTTGGTGTGTCTCTCTGTTTCACGTGAGCTCGCTGCCAATTCGCGTGTTGGTGTGTGTGTGTGTGTGTTGGGACTTCTCCGTGTCCCACGTCCGCACGAGAGAGACAGCCGTGCTCATCCGAGGTGCGCGTTCGTGCGTAAAATGAGGTTATTATTGGGCGCTGTTTGACCTTTGGAGCAAAATATAACTTTACGACAGGCGATTCAAAGGGGACCGCTACTCCGCTCAAGTGGCAAAACGCGGTGCCACACACGACACGGCGCAACTCGACTTGTATTAACAGCGCAGTTTGGGGTGAATACGTGGAGCGTCTATCGGTCAATCTACAACACTGCGGGCCATAGAGTAGTTTACGCTCCTTCAACGGAGGTACAGTACTTCACTAAATGGCACGCAGGTCTTGTGCATGTGTACGGCCCGTTTAGCCGATCCACTGCTGGATGAGGGCCTCCCCACGCGTTTGCGGGTCATGATGATTGTTTGACCATACTTAACCATACTGGTTATAGCAGGTGGCAGATGGTGGGCGCATCTAACAGTGGATGTTGCTGCACTGCCCACAACGCCTACTGCATGTGGGTTGCGGGCGGCATCATGGCCACCCATCGAAAAGTTGGTTAGCCAGGCTCAACTTTGCTTAGCTTCTGATATCTGACTAGGCTGGGCAGATTACGGTAATTGTATACATAAGCAGTGGAGTGTGTCGATATATTTTACACAAGTACACAACATCTGCATGAGCCACCGATACATTACGGTGTCCTGCTTTAGTTGTTCCAACCCATGATTCCGTTGTAAAACATCCACTGTCTTTAACGTGCTGATGAGGCTTTAGCGATTGCTTTACCATGCTGAATAAATATACTAAGAGTGGACTGGACTGCGGTGATTCTCAGAGTGCGGTCCCATGGTACCACACCGGTGAGCCGCTGGGCTTTGATGCAAACGCACAGGTTGATCCCGAATTAGTGACAACGTGTATCCCTCTTTGTTTCGGACATGAGTTAATATTTTTCTTATGAGATTTAATAACGAATAATAAGTTATGTAAACTACCCTGGTGAAACTACCCTAACCCAAACATCTAAATGTCCCCCGACTTTAAAAAAAAAAACGTATGCTGCGTTTGAAAACAAGTTTTTATGTTCCTGTAATATTAATCATTTCCATTACTAGTATTGACAGATAAGCGAATGCGTTTTGTTGCCAGGGGGTTGAGTGGGTCCGCGTAAATGTCGTACTGGGTTATTGTCTTGTGGTCCCAACTAAAGTCATAGCTGGCATGGATGAGTCGACTCCTATCTCGAGATGGGGGGGAAGGGGATCCTTCTTGTCTCTGGCTGGGGCCAGCCAGAATTTGGCATTGGCATAATAGCAGGACCCACAACCTTTCTATTTAGAGTATTGTTTACATAGCATACACATGTAAATGTGGATGTGATACATTCGTACATGTACGATGTACAACACGGTATTGTATTCCATAAAACAGGTGTCATAGGCTGCTGCTGTGGGCGTACTTTGCCAGCAGAGGGCACTACACGGTGGTAGCACTGAGCCATGGGGAGATGACGTGGGGGAGGTCCTCTTCCAACAGTGTACAGAAAATGTCTGATGATGATGAGAGCTCTTCGAGACAGTCTATTTTGCAATATGCATGCATGGCATATATAATATTAAGTTGTATGCAATATGGGATGCTATCGCGTGTCATTGTTCACACGCTGGTCTTGCAAGCCGGAGGTAGCCAGTTCGATTGGCAGCCGAGAGACAATGATGCATGTTCCTAAAATCCCGCTGCTTCTGACCATTAAGCGGTACAAAATGGGTAAACCGCATTCAGTCGATTGGCTGGTCATGTGCTGTTGAGGAAAAGTGTGGGTTACTCACACTTTTTGCGAGATGTTTGCTCAGTGTGTGGAAGTGTGTGGAGGGCCTTCTGCCATGTTGCTTGCTACCTACTTCACGTGTTACACAAAGTGCCAACTGTGACCCTGCCAATTGGAAAAAAAGAGAGCCATAACTCTGCAATTTTGCACTTACAGTACTTGTAATTTCCTTCCCTCGACTCGCAGTCTTTGAACTTGGGTGGCCAGGCGCTGAATGAGAAGCCAGAGATCTCGGTTCGTGACAAATGGCTAAATATAGACCATGCCAAGTTGTGTGACTTGGCACTTGGTCAGATCCACTCCCAAGATTAAAACAAAGTCAGCTCGTACAGTGCACAGAACATATTTCGGCAATACAAAAACAATATTTTTTTTCGGACAACTTCCTATGTGGCACACAGAGCTGTAATACAAACATTGACACGTGCAACTTCGCACACTTGCGTATATTTTTTTTGTCGGTGATAACGTGGGGCTATTGACCGGTAATATCAGCCCTGTTTTATATTGCTCTCGGGCACATAGGCCTGCTGAATTTATAAGACGGATCAAAGCAGTACTTGATGGCAGGTTGCTCAACTGGAAAACAGGAAAACAGTACGGAAGTGCATTTTATGAGTTGGAGAAATGCAGCGCGCACAGCAATGCGCACTTGTTCGCTGAGCCTTAAGGCTTTGCTGCAACGTCACGTGGTAGGCAGTCCCCGTTTTAGTGTTGTGAATCGGACACAAGCAGTGGAATCTGAAAATAAATGTCATTTATTGTATTGTAATGATATGATAACGTGTCCTGCGTGTGTTACTTGTGGTAGTGCGAAATCAATTTCCGTTTTGCTTCCCTTCTGGATGATTTGAAAGTAAAAACGTAGCAGGATGCATAAGCAACTGCATGTGCCGCCCCAATTAGTGTCCCAATTTATTTCAATATTGCATCAGAAATGTCAAGTTTTTCTTTCGGAGAACTCTAAAAGAAGGATTCTGGTTTATATTCAATTGGCACATTATTTAGCCAGTGGTAAAATGGTGATGTGGTTTTATTGCAAACATGGCTGAGTGGGAAAAACGTGCATTAACCTGATGAAAAATAATAGTGTTTTACCCTTTCTGGCAATAAAACAGGTATTAAGATGTTCAAATATCAAAATAGAAACCTTTTTCAAGACATAAAGTCTGCATTAACCACACATACTTGTGGAAAAAAACATGCAAACAAATATGCATTGATATAATATATTTCTTTATATATGCAGACTTGATGCCAAATAATATCATATATGCATATAGTATATATGCATATATACATTATATGCATATACATTATATATACAGTATATTCATATATAATATATTATATATGCATATATTATCAAGCATGTTTTATCAGAAGTATGTGTGGTTAATGCAGACTTGATGCAAAATAATATAATACTGTGTATGTTTATGTAATAGACACAAATGTGTCCACAACAATTGACAAACATTATTTTACATCAACAGTGGTGTAACAGCTCTTATAATGGCTTAACATCAGTCTCTTGGTCAGGTGGGTCCACCACTTTTCTTTCCGATATTTGGACCGATGCACTTTTTAAATCTCGATTGAAAACTCAATTCTTTAAAACTCTTTTTGTGTTTAGTTTGTTGTCCTTCCTCTACAAGCCGAATTATCACGGTTGGTTAGGTCCGGTGCGAAAAGAGTTCAAAATGCATCGAGTACATCTTAATAAACAGCCGTTTCTCTGCATACTCAGAGCCAAGATATCTTTCTGCCTGGCACAGTTTGACCGAGGCCCTCCTCGGTCTGATTCGAGGTCTCTCGTCAAATAGAAAGCCTCCTGGCATTATGCTTGAAAATCCCCTGCCACCTGTCCCCTTTTTTTGAAAATGCCTTGCCCGAGAAACAATGCAAGTTTTTTCACATCGAGTCAAATAGGCAATACTGCCATACAGAGTCATTTGTTCACTAAATTAAATCCTCTTCCTACCAAACTACCCTCCTTCCCCCTTGAACCCTTGATGTTTAAATTAGTTTAAGGAAGCATTGTTTCACAAATAGATTGAAACTCGAGTCTACTGGCTGGGCACTCTTCTCCCGTTCGTGCAGTGCCTTTTTCAAAACACGGCCCAGACTTGGATGTGTTAGCATCATTCCTTGATATGCAAATGCCACATGATCAATTTTTTTTCCTTCCCCTTTACAGTACAGTGCTTAATCTCAGCCAGTTGTTGACGCTTTGAATACACTCGAAATCGACATTCGAGTTGTACATTTTGAGGATATAGGTTAAAGTATGCTGTGGTCAGTTTTTCTCTTGTTTTATACTTTAAATTACGTTGTTCACTGGCTCCCATTAGACAACTAAAATTGCCCCGTTGCACAAGCTCGCCTGCTTCGATTTACATTTGTGTATATTGCACAAGAGACAATAAAACGAAATGATGGTCTCTGTTGTAAAACAAAAACCCCACATATGACGTGAAATTAAGAAGGAAGCACAAAAGACACGCACACACACCAAATAGGCTACGTATACTAATCCACGATGCTTTGCATGCTACATTGTAGGCACGATATTCTTCATTTGGAGAGGGAACAATGCTGATGTGGTAAAGGAGCCGTGCGCTATTGAGTGAGGAGAGCGAGAAGGGATGCTGGTCGCTGTGGAAAGTCTCACTTTGAGCGACTGTGTGTGGGCGCGATGTTAGCGGTTTTCGTACAGTGCTTATATAGAAATGCGGACGTGAGCGTGAATACAGCTGGCAGTGTCGATATTTCGATAGAGGAGATATTACCATGTGGTGACGCTACTTCCCTCTCTACGCCGAAGTGTACCGAGTTTTGGGGTTGAACGCGTAGTCGTAGGCTTTCGCGGCCAATATTATCGTGCCAACAGTGACACTCGGGTGATTTTGATAACGTTGAGGTTTTTTTTTTTGTTGATGCAAAACTAGTTGCTTCTTGTTAAGATTAATTATAGGATCTGTTGAGATTGAGAAAAAAATATTTTTTTATACCGTTGTGATAGCTTCAGGCTTAGTGCTGCTTGGAAGCGTATTATTAAGTAATGCACTGTTTAATTGCATGCCTAATACAAGTCGCCATAATTACCAACGAAACGGCATGGTTACTTTAATTGTAAATGTTGTAGTGGGTTTACTTCAACACACCGGTGTGCTGAACTAGTAACTAATTGGCATGTTTTTGGCTACGTGACAAACCTTACTAATTAGCTGTGTCGGGTGGTGGTGGTTTTAACGACGAAATTATATTTCCACGATCTAACCCAAAACACCTATTATGGATACACACTACAAACACTTTACACAATATTTTTGGGCCAAACAATTCAAAGTGGAGCCACCCGAAATGTTTTGAGACTCCACGAGGCCCCTGCCGGTTAATTACTTACTCGGCATCGTCTCGCTACTTTAGTCATCTCACGCAGTTTGAGACCCGTACACTTGTTCAACTAATTGTACGAGGCCGTTTTGGCTGTCAATGCAGAAATATAGTGTTCTATTTTTCGATTTAAAGCTTTCGTGACTGCAAGGATTCATCTTCTTTGGTTCTTTCGGTAAAGTCACGTAGAATGAGAATAAAATAATAAAATAACACAAACAAAATTCTCACGTTCTATTTTACAGGATAGGTTTAAATGAATCATAATGTTACAAATTTATCATAATGATGCATTGTGCAATCCGCAGTCTCGCTGCGGATTTGATCAATAATCATCACGACCCATGGGCAGATCTGCCCGTCGGAGTTCCTGCACATTTCGTCATTTCTGTGGTCGTCACGCGCATTGGATTACTTTAGTTTTTGTTCACGGCAGAAGTATCGGCAACCTTTCACCCGACCCTCTCTCTTTTTAAATCCAGGTTTGGGACTGGTTCAGATACCCACTGAATTGTGGAACCCCTGAGGCGGAGTTTATTTGAAAATAACAGCACCATAATTGTTCCGGTTCAATGGTCCTTTTTTTTTTTTATCCAGCTCTCTTAACATCAATGAAGTCTTCTTGGAATGCTTTCTATATTCAATTTGTATGAATGCTCAACAATTAGGATTATACAACACGTGTACTGTAGTTTAAAAGAAAAAAAGTAAGGCGATGCAGCCCAGGAAATATAAATTAACATTGTAAATGTTGTGGATTTACTCTCCAACACACGGGTGTGCTGTACTAGTGACGAATTGGCACGTTCTGTTTACTTGACGACCCTTACTAATTGGCTGTCTCGGGTGGTGGCGGGTTTAGCGACACATTTATATATTTACGCGATCAAACCCGAACAAAAAAAAAACCTGCATTATGGACAATTATTTGAAGTAAGACCGGTTTCTAAAAGCTAGAAATAACGCGGTAAAAATAAGATATAGCCCGCTCGCTTCACGCATTTGCACCACGATTACGTAAACTGCAGATGTTGAGCGCTTAAGAGGTGATCGTGAAGAGCCGTTCACATTTCAGCCACATTTGCGGCCAATGGATTCGTGAAGCCTTACAGCGCCGCAATGCATCTCAAGCTCTTTCATGCGGCGGCAAACGCCAGAGCTTGCTCGATCTTCGACGCACACCCAACAGAACGGGTTTTTTTGTGTGTGTGGGGACTTCATCTAGCAGTGGATTGACCGTGACTGATGATGATTTATTTGTGTATGTGTGTGTGAATGCGCGCGCGCGAGTGTCTCTTTCTCAAATGACACGTCACGACGGGAACGGACTTGGTGCCATGATGAAAAGTAGAATTTTGACAACCACCCTGTCGCGCTCTAACACACACCCCCCCCCCGCCATCACCATTCGCGACTCAATTCGAACGGCAGACACGGGAGGCTCGGGTTTAGTTACCCACCCGGGCGAGAAACCAGCTCCGCGAGTTCACCTCGAGGGTCGGGTTGTGACGTTTTATCTGGTAGCCGGTACGCGTGTGTTTATGTCTTTAATTGCCAATTGTTTGTCAGGATGGCTGTCTGTTTTCTCCATCGATTTCATGCTTTTAATTTGGATTTCTGTCTGCGTACTGTGTTCATTTCGATGTGTACCAGTCTGGCTCCGATTAGCAGGGTTGGCTTTGTACGGTGTAAGAGAAGATCACCATACATACCTACTATGTCGTTGTTTTATGTCGACGTGTTTGTGTGTGTGTGTCAATATGTTTGTCAGTTCATTTTATTTCATTGCTTTCGCCTGTTGGTGCATTCCAAAATACCACAACGCACCAGGGACTGTGCTGCTGCATCAGAGCGCTTTTGGTAGGTGATGGGACGCACCTTGATTTTGCATTGACCGTATGTTGTGTGTGTCTCTCTCTCTGTCTCATATTTTTTCTGACCAGTACATTTATTAGGGATGCTGAAGACTGGCAATTGCGCAGCTAAGGAACGGATCGCCGGAAGCGAACCAGCTCAAGGTGGAGGGACCATGGCGAGCAACGCTAGGGGAGGGATATTTGGGGTGCACTTAGGTGGTGGGATACTTGGCAGGGGAGCGGTGCGAGGACGAATTCATCGGGAAACCCTCTCCACTGGCGAGATGACCGGAAGGACCGCCGCTAGCGGCGTGAATGTTCGGGAACACATTTCCGCCGGAGGGGCGGGTGGTCTCGGAAGAGCAGGCGGCACCTTGGGCGGAGGGATGGAAGGGATGGTGGAGGATACGTCCGCGGCGGGGATGCTGGGCGCCGACTTACGGGAGGAGGAGCTGGAGGCGCACCTGTGGGATGAGGTGGAGAACCACCGCATGCGTCTCACGAGTGTCATCGACCCCGCACGGCTCACGCCGTACCTACGGCAGTGCCGCGTCATCGACGGGCAGGACGAGGACGAGGTGCTCAACTCGCTGAGTCTCTCCACGCGCTCGCGCCGCGTTGGTACGTACACGCATGTGTGTGTGTGTGTGTACGTTGAACTTCTTTCGCACCGTACGTAGCCAACCGTGCTGAATAGATGTGCGGGGGAAGGAGAACAACACAAAAATGAGTTATAAAGAAATTAGCTTTAGATCTTAGATTTAAAAGTGTGTAGCTCCAGTCGCTTCCTAATATCGGAAGGAAGAGTGTTCCAGACGGCCACAGAAGCCCATCTGAAAGCACGCGATGCAGTAACTCATCTTTGTTTGATGGATGACCGGAGTTCGCAGGATGGTTAAGCTCCTTGACGAGGTCAGCAAGGTAGGTAAGCACGTGTGTATGTATGCAAGTTAAACAATACAAACACAATACACGTATCGGGGCATTTATAGCTTGGGTGAGCAGATACGTATAACATGGGAAATGCTCCGATACGTGCATTGTCTTTGCACTGTTCGCCTTTTGGCGTTCTGTGGTCTAACACTGGTGGTGAGACTAGGCCATAAAGAAGGTTCTCTCTGGTGTAGGCCAATCAGTTTCAAAGGCAATGCATACGTATATATTATCAGAGCATGTTTGTTTCCATGTTCATCACAAGTACGTGTGGTTGATGCACACTTGATTCCTTGCAAAATGTTTCTATTTGGTGTTTGAACATCTTAATACCTCCTGTTTTATTGCCAGAAAGGGTAAAACCTCTTCTTATTTTTCATACTTTTATACCGGCAAAAAGGTCCCATGACAAACCACCTGAGTTTGATTCTTAGCTATGACTAACATCAGTGGGAGGTGCTATTTGAATTGGTCCAGAGACCACCTCCCTCAAAACACACAATGATCAGGATGGTGAAGTATGGTCAAATAACCCCAATGACAAAAATGGGTGTCATTTCTGCCAACAGTGAATTGTTTATATAGCACTGTAGTCTATTCTAAACAAAAACAAGTGGCCGTAGGCGGTGGTGTAATGGTTGGTACACTGCAATGCAATCCCGAGCCTGGTGGATTGCAATCCTTACCACACACAACACCAACGGAATTCATAATCTTGGTTCTTTCGGTAAAGTCACCACGTAGAAGGGAAACAAAAAAATAAAAATATAAAACAATAAAATTCTCACGACGTTTCGACTGCAACACAAGCAATCATCATCAGGTGTGAAAGCCACAGCAAGAAAATTTGAAAAAAGTGGCGTTTTTTTATCGTTATCACCACGGAGAGCGATTTGGCAGTTTGTTTAGATGGACGAGTCCATCTATGTTCGGAAAAAGAGGAGGGGGGAGACGAAAAATTATCGATGCGGTCTGAAAGCCACCTTAAGCGTGATCACTCAATTAAGACCCGAAATGGTTTATCAAATCCTTCCAATTAATATGAATCCCTGCAGTCACGAAAGCTTTAAATCAAAAAAATAAAACCAACGGAATTGTCATCAGAACCTCGCCTGAACCAACCTGAGGTCAACTTGGCCAAAAATTAGGATCTAGTAATGTGGTCATTTCAACAAAAAGGAAACAAATACAGCTGGGCATGCTACGGTGCTACTGGCCACAAAGTGCACTGTTGTACTTTACTGGCCTGAACATTTCGCGTTGTTGTTGCACGATGGCTGCTGCAGGCCAACCAGTCGCACGCGCCCATCGGTGCTTTCCCTCCTGACTTTCCCCAGGAAACGGCCGAGTTACCATACTGGTTCTTTCTTTGCACCGACTGCGACAGTATGACTATCAAGTTATATTTACCCCCGTTTCACATTTCATAAGTGACACTTATTTAATTTTGCCCCCTAACTATTGTAGCCCCGTCTTCTCTGTGGCAACATTCCGTGCGTTTGGCCATACCAGATGCCTGGAGAGGCCACTTGTTAGGGCTGTCGTGCAATGTGAGCAAAGGGGGCAGATGGAAGTGCAGTTAGGCTACCAAATTAATTTAATTGAAAATGAAGAGAAACGTGGCCTACGCAATCTGCTTATTGGATCACAAACACTCTCTTCTCCGAAAGGGGAAATAACAACCATGTTCAGAACCAGCACCACTCTCATCAGGATGTAACTAACAAAAACTTGGTTGAGCAATCAATCGCAAGCTCTTTAGGCCTCTCTTTGCATATATTTAATTTGCCCTTTCTATTCCGTATGTCCCATTTACATTAATTGGTTATGGCATTTTATTGTTTGTTGTGTTTGACCGTGCTTTGTCACTATCTTTGGGGCCTAAGGGTTGCTAATTGGGTCATGTTAACCCTCCACATGAAGATGAAGCAGTAAATAGTCTCCACGTCTAGAGAATATGGCGGAGAAAGAAAAAAACCTCGAAATCAAAGGAAACACATTGTCTCCCGCTTAGAGAGCAGGCCTCTTCCTAAACTCACCACAATGTGGCTATTAGGTCAGGTCAACATTGCGATGTTGCTCTTGATGGCCCTTTTTAATGATGCCTTTTTAAGTTCATATAACCTATCCAACTCCCTTTGTTCATTACAAAACGCTTTACACAACGTAGATAATCACATCCCCCAATCTCAAGATTGAAAGATTTCGACAGTCAGCAAAGAAAAATGCCTTCTGAAATGTCTCCCGCAATCTGCAAGCGGGTTTCTCAGGGTTGAGTGCTTCATCCACACTTGTTCACCCTGAAATCTGACCCACTCAAAATTATGTTTCCATGCCTTGGACATTAATTTACTAGCTTGTTTGCTCGTCCTAGGACGGAAGCTGAAATAATAAAGATATACATTTACGTTTTCTTGTGTGATTCACCCACTCATGATTATTAATGATGGGGGGGGGGGGGGGCTCTTTTGCAGTGACGTCATGTACGAATGTAGCAGTGTGCCGCGTATATTTATTTTTTACCGTCACTTTCTGTAAAGAAACGTCATATTTGAGGCGACTTTGCGTAATTAATTATTTAATTCAGCTTGACCTTCTGCATTAGTGTAAAAATCCACCCACTCATGAATATTAATAAGGGGGGTGGGCCTCATGTTGCTCGATTTGCCACTACACCTGCAAATGAAACAGCTCATAGACACTTCTACACTCCATCTTTGTATCCTTTTAAACCATATCTTTGTCCCATTATTTCACCAGCACTCCTTCCAAACTTCATTCTGCTCTTAAAAATAACACCACCTGCAAGCTGCTGCTATTCGTCCAAGGTTTGCCGCTCTTCATCCCTTCACAGAAATACTTGTGCAAACTATTAATTCTTCTTTTCATATTTCTGGGTGGTATTGAGCTTCATCCTGGCCCAAATATAAAGAACTCGTATAATTCTGCAGATTTTTCTGGCAGAAAAGGTGTTGGTGTTCTACATGTCAACATCAGAGGGCTTGTGACTAAATTAATTCAACTAAAACTAGACGTGGCAAATCTTGACCCGGACATTTTTTGCCTAACAGAAACATTTCTCACTCCTGCCGTCAATGACTTGCAGATTACGATTGACAACTACAACCTTTTTAGGCTTGACCGAGGATCTAAAGGAGGTGGAATTGCCATCTATGTTTGTAATACTATTGCATGTTCACCAGCTCACTCCTTGTTTAAAAAATGTTGCTTTGAAGATTTAGCTCTCAGAATAACTCTCCCAAATAATCAACAGATATTGGTAGTGTGCTGCTATAGACCGCCTAGTGGGAAGGATGTTGAAGCTGCATCTGCACTGAGAGAGCTTTTTGAGGGCCTCCCAAAAGGTGAAATAGTTTGTGGGTGATCTAAATTGGAATTGGCTAAACCCGCCGGCCGTGGCCACAAATTTTACAGATGAATTTAACCTGTTTCATTTAATAAATGTTCCCACAAGACCCAACCTAAAAAATCCGGGACAGTCAACTCTGCTTGACGTCCTATTGACAAATGCCCCTCACAATTTCGCACTGACTGGTGTTCTTGGAATTAACCTTAGTGATCACTCCATTTTTTGGGTGAGATCATCAGCCAGACCCAAAGCCCCCCTAAAATTGTTGAGAAGCACTCTTTGAGGCACTTCAGCCCTCAGGCATTTACTAATGATGTGCTTAACTCGGATATTGACAAGGTCTGTGATATCCCCAACCTGACAACGGCTTGGGAGACTTTCAGGTACACGTTTCTCCAAATTCTTAACAAACATGCTCCGTTGGTTAGATTTAAAACTAAAGGCAACCGCCCACAATGGTATGATCCTTTGATTACAAAGCTCATGAAAACTAGGGACAAGGCTTGGGCATGTGCTCAGAAAAGTAATTTGGTCAATGACTGGCTAGAGTACAGGATTTTAAGGAATAGATGCGTCAAAAAAATACGGCATGCAAAAAATGCCTACTTTTCCTCCACTCTCCTGGAATCACATGGACATGCCAGGATTTTTTGGAAAACAATCAAATGTATCGAAAAGGCATCCAAAACAGACAATATGCCTGTTGAGCTAAACCGAAATGGGGAATATTTTTCAGATCCCCAAAAAATAGTTGACAATTTTAACCTTCATTTTTCTGAAGCTGGTAATCTTTTTGATAATGTATTGGGTGTCACCCCTGCTCATGCAAATTCCTACACCCCTGTCCAAACATTCAACGAATTTAGTTTCCAGCCAATCCACGAAAGTAATGTTCTGAAACAGCTGTCCTACCTCAAAGGGTCCTCCTCTACCGGAGCAGATAGTTTTCCCGTCTTTGCTCTACTAACTGTTGGTCACCTAATATACAAACCTATAGCCCATATTTTCAACCTGTCCATCAAAGAAGCTTCAGTTCCTCTTGAATGGAAACATTCCTATGTCCGTCCACTTCACAAAGGGGGCCCTAAAGATGATCCCAATAACTACCAACCTATCTCAATTTTGTCCCCATTGATGAAAATTTTTGAAAAAATATTGAACTACCAAATTAGCAGTTTCCTGTCCACCAACAATCTACTACATCTAAAACAATCTGGGTTCCGAAAAAAATACAGCACCACATCTGCTGCATTAGACTCTCTGAATCAAATTTACAGTAGCCTTGATAATAAGCAGAACTGTGCCTGTCTTTTTCTTAACCTGTCCAAAGCTTTTGATACAGTAGACCACAACACCCTGCTTGGTAAACTAAGTTGCCTCGGTTTTTCCCAAAACACAGTAAAATGGTGAAAAAATTACCTCTTTTCTCGCACCCAAACTGTATTCAGAGATGGTTGGAGGTCAAACAGTGTTAAGATTACAAAAGGGGTTCCACAGGGTTCCATCCTCGGCCCCCTCTTGTTCTCTTTTTATGTCAATGACTTGGGCACTGAACTGGATCATTCTAGGGTAAAACTTTTTGCAGATGACACGATACTGATTACTGCTGGCCGCTCTCCGGATGACGTGATTGCTAAGCTCCAGGGTGATTTCAACAAACTACAACATGGGCTCGTTGCTCTTAAACTAGTCCTAAATACCTCCAAAACCAAGGTGCTATGCTTCTCACCCAGACTAAAGCAGGAAGTTATTTTTCCCAAATTACATTCCTTAAATAATTATTAAATAGAGCAAGTCAAGTTCTATAAGTATATTGGGGTCATCCTGGATTCAAAACTGAATTTTGAAGATCACATTGATTATATTGGTAAAAAGACAAAAATAAAAATTGGTTTTCTGTATCGACACAAGCACTGCTTCCCCCCTATGTTCCATATAGGACTCACCACTGTGATCTCTACATTGGGTCAAACTTAACATCTCTTAATGTTCAACGGCTTGTGCACCAGATCTTATTTATTCACGATGTACTTACAAAAAAATCCGCAGACTACCTGCTGGATCTCCTCTCTGTTTCAAAGAACAAATTTGACCTCAGGTCTTCGCTCATCTACCAGCTTCACATTCCCTATTGCCGTACAAAAACTGGAGGAAGAGCCTTTGCTATTGATGCCCCCAGGGTCTGGAATGCTATTGCCAATAAACTGCAACTTGAATCACTACCTATGAGATCTTCACTCAAAACTGCTCTAGAGGCGTTTTACACCCCTAGCTGCCACTGCTATTCAGTGGCCTAAAATAAAATAAAATGTTTCGCTCCGGATGACCGCTGCAAAGTATTATCTGTATTTTGATTTAGTGTGCTGATCTTAAAGGTGCATTGAAAAATGTGATACTCCGACTGATACTCCTGTTGTTTGTGGAGTGACTCATGCAGCCAGCTATGGCTCTAGGGTTTGGTGTTACATGTTATTTATGTAGTTTATTGTAAAAAATTCGGTCACAGTTCCTATGATCACTTACATTGCATTTATGGTTTTCTTTTGGTGATTTCTAAAAGTTTTTTGGTTTGGCCATGTTTTTGTTTATTGTAGTACGGAGTTAGACTGATGACATTAATCTAAGTTTTCTTGTTGTTTGACTTGCATCCCACTGGGATTTTTGCACACAGCGTTGGTGTACGGTGCTATTTCAGGAATATTTTGATGTTTTTTCCTGGATTTTCTGTTTGCACATGCACAAAGTCATTTTAAGATGTTTTCTTGTTCATGTTTTTGTTTTTTTGTTTGTTGCGGTTGCACCCGATTCAAGAGCCGAATGGCTCACAGGGCTATACCAAATAAATTAAACTATTAAACTATGTGGAGTGACGTCACGCGGGGGTGGGCCTCGTGGAGTGACGTCAAGTGCGGAACACATTATTGGCTTATAGTAGTAATACAAGCCTGTTCCATCTCTACTTGATGGCCAACCACCATTGCAACTGGATTCTTTTTCAGTGGAACGAGACTTTGCTCAGTCTCCTGTGAAATGAAAGTGAAACTAATTATTGCATTCTTCCTCAGGCCTCAGTCCTCAATGCCTGTATAATTTCACTTTGTGGGACCGACCATCAAACAACATTTTAAATCTGAGACATATCAGGCTTCATTCCGACCTGAATTTTAATATTCGTATCACTAAAGTTCTTGAAATGAGTTGCATTTCTTTATCAGAAACACGTGCTTCTCTTTATTTACTCACCACTCACTTGTCATACCAACCGTCATGCCTGTTATCGATAATGGAGATGCGGCTTTAAAAAAAAAACGCTCATACCCCACAATTTTCAATAGACTAGACCCAGACTTCCATTTGTTCTTCTGCTTTATTGTAAACGAGTCGCTCGCTTTACCACTGACCTCTGTTCTAAGTTTGGCTACCTTCCGCGTTCATTACAGGTTGTTCCACTCTGGTCTACGTTTGTCTTAAAAGTGTTTATTAAGTATCTGCGATGAAGTTTGTTCTGCTTAAATCAGTCTTAATCCCTTGCGATCCAAGATGTGCCACTAAAGTCCTTTGTCTCACGCCAAGACTTATTATGAGATTAGGACTGAAATTCTTTCGTCCCTAAAACTTCTCCAATCTGGAACAATCTGGCAAATCACCAATTAATAATGTCTGTTCACTCCTGTAGGTATGTACAGTATGTATGCTGAACTTCTTTCGCACCGTACGTAGGCAACCATGCTGATCCCGATTGGCGTTGTAACCCACTGCTTGCGGGGTGCTGAGCTTCCTGGTGGTGCGACAGTGGCGGGATCCTCGATGAGTGGCTCAATTTGGGATGATGTTAACCATTCTTCCCAATAGCTCCTCCGCAAGCCGTCGACGTTGCCCCAGGCACGCGGCTGAGTCTTTCTCTGGTGTTTGCCATCCCCCCCCCCCCACCACTACCTGCCCCCCCCCCCCGCCCCCACCCCATTGTCCTCGCTCTCTCCGCCACGCAGGAGTGTTGCTCGACATCCTGCGCTCGCGTGGCACGCGTGGCCACGTGGCGTTCCTCGAGAGCCTGGAGCTGCACTATGCCGAGCTCTACAAGCAGCTCACGGGCAACGAGCCCACGCGCCGCTTCTCCACCATCATCGGTGAGCAGGGGTCGCATGCGCTGGGTGCATCCCCCACTGAACTTGCTACTTGCTTACAGAGGTTCCCGGTTGTCTCTCGACACGGCAGTTGCATGCATGTCAGTATCGGTGAATGTATTTGTACCGGAGGAATACAATGAACCGATTGAGCTCTCTTTCACAAATGGTCCAGTCGGGGCACAGGGTCAGAATATTACAACAAACAATGCAAAAACACAATAGGAGTGAAAAGTACAGCGAAGGTAAACAAATCACTTGAAGAAATATACAAATGAAACTAAACAATTTTAATCTTAGCAGGTAAAGCCCACTGAGCTATTAGCTTATTGTTTCAGAAGCGACCTGGCTACACATCATAACTCAACTAAGTGGCTTATGTGAAAATTTATGGGAACAAAATAATGTACATTATTTAAATGCAAATATGTATGATGAGCTTCTTTTGCACCATACGTAACCAGCCATGCTAATCGGAGGTGAGGGGGAAGGACAACAAACTATACACAAAAAACAGTTCTGAAGAAATTAGTTTAAAATCTAGATTTGAAAGTGCATAGCTCCATTGCCTTCTAAATATCGGAAACAAGAGTGTTCCAAACGGCCGCAGGAGTGCATCCAAAAGCACGCGGTGCAGTGGCCGGGCAGCCATTGAACAAACACTGTTGCAGAAGTATGAAAAAATGTCGACTCAATGGAGCAAGCTTCTTAAATCGCCCGCCGTATTAATGGCTACATCGCAGTCGATCGGCAGGTCACGTACGACGGGGTAAAATGTGGGTATGCCCAACTTTTCCAAGAAGCCTGTCCAGCCTGGAAGAGTAGGCCAAAATGCCCTCAAGGGGCTCTCAAGAGAGCTCCCTCCAGCGGTGCGCCCTTCCCCCCCGCAGCGGTGCGTGCAAAGCAATCGCAGGGCTACACCTTAGCCTGCACCTCCGCTGCGAGTGGTGGCTTTTCTCGAACGCGAGCGGGCCACACCGAATCGGACTGTTCTGCCGCAAACTGCCCTGTGCCCCCGCGGCGCGTTGCCCGTCCGCGCTTCGCAGGCGTGGAGGGCCAGGACGGGCTGCTGCACTTCCTCATGGCCGAGGTGATGCGCCAGCAGCTGCAGCTCGCCGAGGGCAAGCAGCAGCGTGCCGAGCTGCACGAGCGTGCCTCGCGCCTCGAAACGGATGGCCGCCGGCTGGCGCTGCAGAACCGCGAGCTGCAGGCCTACAAGGACCGCTTCGGGCGCATGAAGGAGGAGAGGAACGGCTACAACGACGAGCTCATCAAGGTGAAGGACGAGAACTACACGCTCGCCATGAAGTACGCGCAGCTCAGCGAGGAGAAGAACATGGCCGTCATCCGCTCGCGCGACCTGCAGCTCGAGGTGAGAGCTCCCGGGTTCGCCGCCCGTCCCCCCACACCCTACCCTTGTCGTGCTGTGGATAGATTGGGCCCCGTCACAGGAATGTGGCAGTTACACCGCTGACAGGCACAGGACCAACTTAAAAGCAGAGCCAGTGGTAAGGTCACGCAGACCACCATTGCAAGTGCCGTACATGGACCGTAATGGACCACTTGAGGTTCGGTGTCCGTTACCAAAGAGAGGGAGCCCCGTAGTGTTTGTGGGACTGGAGGGGCTTGAGCCCCTCTGCCGTGGACGCATAATGAGTGCGAATTCTCGTCGTCAAGTCACATCTGCCTTGACAATATTCACGTCGAGGACAAGAGCTCAAGGCGGACGCGTGATCGACGCAAGAAGCAGATCGTATCGTGACTCCCCCTCATTCTGTTTAACCTTCAACACTTCATTCTAGATTTGAAGCTTTCGTGACTGCAAGGATTCATACCCTTTGGTTTTTTCGGGAAAGTCACGTAGGTAAAATAAAATAAATTAAAATAAAAGAAAACAATTAAATCACGACGTTTCGGAGGCTCCTCCCCCCCCCCCCCCCCTTAACCTGTATTTAAGCTCGAGGCTCTCAGAGCCTCCCCACTTGATGCAGCGATCTTGCTGTGACTGTTCCACCTGAAGACGGAAGCTTGTGTTGCCTCCGAAACGTCGTGATTTTATTGTTTTATTTTATATTAATTTATTTTATTTTACCTACGTGACTTTACCGAAAAAACCAAAGAGTATGTTCAACACTTCGTTTTAAAAGTCTTTTTTTTTTCTTAACACTGACCGTGTTGTGGCCCCCACCTGAGTTTTTTTGAACATCCTACAGAGGGTGGAATGAAGCAAGGGACTCAGAAATTAATCCGTGTGAGCTGTGTGCCACGCCGCCACAGATCGACCAGCTCAAGCACAGCCTGAACAAGGCCGAGGAGGAGTATGCGCTGGAACGCCGCGCATCTCTGCGGCTGCAGCACGACATGGAGGCGAACCCGGGCCGAGAGCGGCTGGTGGAATTGGAGCGGACGAACCTGGCGCTGAGCACCAAGGTGGCCGAGATGCAGGTGCTGCTGCAGGTACGTGCAGGAGCGCCCTTGCCCATGTGCGCACGTGCGTGTGTGTGTGTGCGTGCGCGCTGGAGTGTGTCGCGCCCATCGCCTGCGTGTGTGAAGGATGTCCTGTGTAGTGTCAGCGCGGTAATGAAGGTTGTGAAGCTTAAACCTTTTCCATTGCGAGACGACTGCACATTGCCGGGTGGGTCACGTTCACCGCTGAATCTCGGAACGCGTAAGCGGTTCGGCGTTAACTTTATTTAGAGAGGCGTAGCGCCGCTGTTTTTAAAGTTACTGTATTCACCGCAGCGAACTGTAGCGACATGATCACACTCTGATAGCTGGCGTCAAACTGTGCCACACGCCCTTCCGCATGGCCTTGTGGGAGCCTCGGTACCGTTAAAGTTTTAATACACGTACGTCATAAGGATGGGAAAGGATTAGTCTGTAGGTATTATAAACCGGCCAGGTAGCTTGGTGCTAGTTTGAGCGGCCTGCAACCAGAAGGTCATGCGTTCAAATCCTGGTTGGCGGTTGGCTCAGCCCATCATTCCTCCGAGGTCAATAAAATATGTATCACTTTGTGGGGAATTCAACGGTGGTTGGCCCATGGACAGACACGTCCCCGGCATAGGAATTTCCACCATCGACTGAGCGCTGAAAACAGAAGATAAGTGCCACCTCAGTACTCATTTGAGCAAGAAATCACTTGACCTTTCACTGAACAGTTTGTCCTTCTACGTGATTCAACAGGAATGTTGCCATGGGGTAAATGTTAACTACACTGGGCTTGCAATCCAGAGGGTCACTGCTTTGAACTCCCAGCACGGTGGTTGAAATGATGGGGTGAGTTTATTGAATCCCCCTGCCGCTGCCCACCTGGTAGCACAAATGGCATGTGGTGGGGTGAAGAGTGGGTACTTCCCACCTGTCCTGAGATGTCTGGCACGCGTGGAAAAGTAGACCAAAGTTCTCGCCTCGCCGGATCCTTGAGAACTTCCTCCAGGTGGAGGATTTTCTGTGAGGTGTGGCGTGAGTGAGTAATTGCAGGGTTGCATCTTCACCTTCAAGTGCTTAAAAGAACTGTGTATATTCATGGTTGCGATTGACTTCAACGAGAATCAAATCCCTTTTTGCTTAATTTTGGTCTTTTATATCGCTTCTCGATGCCAATTGTAAACGATCCGCTCTCGCACGCACGTATTCCGATGCCAATTGTAAACGATCCACTCTCGCACGCACGTATTCCAAGCGAAAGGAGTCGATCTCAATCGACGAATTAACGTACCGTCAAAGGCCTTTTCATTCTGCATCAAGATGAGTTTATCATCTTGATAACAATCTGGTGAAATTCGTATCGTTAACACCCTTTGCAATTGCATCGAATTGCTACATTTGATTGTTATCTTACTAGTGATTTTAAATAATAATAATAATAATTGGCACATCATTAGCACAAGTGGTGTGTCGTCGCGGCATGAAATAGGCCAGATTGTTACGTGGACCCTACCCAAAAATCAACAATGAATTGTAATATGAGCTGTGCAAACCCACGTGTTAAGTTAATCGGCATCAGGTTCCTGCATCTAATTTGTGCTGGCGTGACTTCCTGCTCGCTGCGGTGGGTACGGTGTGGAAGGACGAAAATAGTGAAATTGGGTAGCTTTTTAAATCCAGGGACTGCTCTACTTACAAACGACTTAGGTTCCAGAGGTCTGTTCGTAAGTCTATTTGTTCGTATGTCCAACTACTGTCGATTCCAAACAATTTGTACGGTATGGACATTAAACACGGGGAAAGGCTTTAAGAGATGTATAATCTCCTGTAGATCTTGATTCCACTGCTTCTTGATGTTCTTCAGATGTAGATGCCGCTGCTTCTTGATGTTCTTCAGATGTAGATGCCACTGCTTCTTGATGTTCTTCAGATGTAGATGCCACTGCTTCTTGATGTTCTTCAGATGTAGATGCCACTGGTTCTTGATGTTCTTCAGATGTAGATGCCACTGCTTCTTGATGTTCTTCAGATGTAGATGCCACTGCTTCTTGATGTTCTTCAGATGTAGATGCCACTGGTTCTTGATGTTCTTCAGATGTAGATGCCACTGGTTCTTCATGTGACATCTACATGACATACGGACAGGTTTGTTTGTATGTCTCTGAAAGTTAATAAGTTGAATGTTCATAATTAGAGGAGTTCCTGTATATATATTTCATTCACATGCTTTTTGTTCATTGTCCAAAACAGGTTTGGCCAAAAAATGGCTTTTTGTATACATTTCCCTTTTTAAAGCCAATGAACCTTTTCACTCCCATTCCTCCACTCCATTTACCGGATTCACACGGTCATATCTATGGCAGGTGCAACGCAAGGGCTGGTTTTACACTGCCGATGACACACGATCGTTTGCTTTCTTTCAGTGCTTATTCTGTTCTTGTGTTTGATGGCAATATGTTCAGGAGATAAAATCCAATCTCGAGGCTGCAGGGAGTATTTGTGTAGTTTCGCTATTTCTCTGAAATGCACACTGCGGTGGCTTTACTGTATGGTCTGTAGGTTGTTTTACATGGCTGCAATTGTGCTACATCTCGTCCTTAATGTTCCATCTATGGAGGAGATGTGTGCATACCTATCAACTCTGTTTACCCATATTCTTGTACAAGGAAATTTCGTTTTCAGGACCATACAGTGTACAGCCGTTTCAATACGGGCTTTGTAGGATGAACGTTGAGGTTTATAAGGGCACGGGGTGACCAATAAGGTCTTAAATGGTCTGTAATAAGGTAGGCACTGATAAGGGGTTGACAGGTACGTGTGTGAAGGTGGCACATACGGCGTATAATGCTTTCCTGTGTAATTATGTAACTTCCTTACATTGGTAAAACAAAAAAACTATTTACAACAAAACTATAATGTTCAATTTTATAAGTAAATGCTTAAATTGATATGCAACACAATGGATTTGGAACAAACGTACTGTAGAAACCCTGCTGAACGATAGTGATTAGTTCCAAGAAACCGGTTGTCAAGTGATTTGGTCATTAAGCGCGTATAGGATATACACGTTTAAAGGCTTAATTTTGACTTAAAACTTTGGCGACTGCAGGAATTCATAATCTTTGGTACTTTTGGTAAAGTCACGTAGATAGAAAATAATATAAAAATAATTCATAAATTATATCTACGTGACTTTACCGAAAGAACCAAAGAAAAGGCTTAATTCTTCCGATAGCATCGAAAGTTACCCCTTTTTCACCCAAAAACGTACTCTATAATATTTAAACAATGGATATTAATGCACAAAGATACTAACAACTGTATAAACATAATAGTAAAATTAACAAGTTTAATCAATGCATTACTTAACATTTACTGTACCCACAACAGCCCGTCGTTAACGGGGGAATGGTCGGTAAGTGAACACATTGGGCTCTATAGAGGCACTACGCTTCACTGTACACTCCACTGTACACTACACTACTATACACTACACTATTGTACACTACACTATACACTACACTATACACTACACTATACACTACACTATATACTACACACTACACTATACACTACACTACTATACACTACACTACTATACACTACACTACTATACACTACATAATACACTACACATTGGGCTCTATGGAGGCCCGTGGTTAAGAGGGGTGCTCGTTCAGAGGGGTTCTACTGTAGACGACAACAAGACGTCTCACATTGGGTTCTATGGAGGCACTACACTACACTACACACTCCACTACTCTACACTCCACTATACACTACACACTCCACTACTCTACACTACACTATGCACTACACATTGGGCTCTATGGAGGCACTACGCTACACTATACACTGCACTATACACTACACTATACACTCCACTACTCTACACTCCACTATACACTACACACTCCACTACACTATACACTACACATTGGGCTCTATGGAGGCCCGTGGTTAAGAGGGGTGCTCGTTCAGAGGGGTTCTACTGTAGACAACAACAAGACGTCCCACATTGGGTTATATGGAGGCACTACACTACACTACACACTCCACTACTCTACACTACACTATACACTACACTACACACTCCACAACTCTACACTACACTATACACTACACAGTGGGCTCTATGGAGGCACTACGCTACACTATACACTGCACTATACACTGCACTACACTATACACTCCACTACTCTACACTCCACTATACACTACACACTCCACTACACTATACACTACACATTGGGCTCTATGGAGGCCCGTGGTTAAGAGGGGTGCTCGTTCAGAGGGGTTCTACTGTAGACAACAACAAGACGTCCCACATTGGGTTATATGGAGGCACTACACTACACACTCCACTACTCTACACTACACTATACACTACACTACACACTCCACAACTCTACACTACACTATACACTACACAGTGGGCTCTATGGAGGCACTACACTGCACTACACACTCCACAACTCTACACTACACTATACACTACACAGTGGGCTCTATGGAGGCACTACACTGCACTACACACTCCACAACTCTACACTACACTATACACTACACAGTGGGCTCTATGGAGGCCCGTGGTTAAGAGGGGTGCTCGTTCAGAGGGGTTCTACTGTAGACGACAACATGACGTCCCACGATGCGCCAACATCTCTGCCGCGCCAGCGGTCTTCCCGCGGTTTCGTTGCCGCCGCGTGCCACTCACCGTGACGTTCGACCTTCCTGTGACTCATGTCGGGAGCGACCATTTCAGTTGCTGCGGAGGCATGTGAAGAGAAACGTCAGACAGGGTGCCCGAACAATACGCGGCACGAGAGGCCGTACGTCGGCAGTGCATACAATTGACACCCCCCCCCCCCCCCCCCACGATGTCAGAAGATCTTTCTTTATAGAGCCGACCCTTGCCGGGGTGAAAATTATTGTATTCTGATGAACAAAATAAGAATAGACTTTACCTTTTCTGGCAATAAAACAGGAGGCGTTGAGATGTTCAAACGCCAAATAGAAACCTTTTGCAAAGAAACAAGTCTGCATTAACCGCACACGGTACTTGTGGTGAACATGCAAACGAACATGCTGTGATAATAAATGGGCATTGTCTTTGAAACTGATTGGCGTGCACCGGAGACCACGTTCTTTGTGGCCTAGTCTCAGCAGTGTCAGTCCGGAGAACACCAAAAGGCGATTGGCACAAAGGCAATGCAAGTACCAGAGCATTTATGGCTTGGGTTGAGCAGTTATTGAGCAGTCAATCTCTTGCATCCGGCCCATCTTGGTGGTTCCAGTCCCGTAGCCAGGGTTCACCGGACTCGGATCAGGCCATGCTGGACATCTTGGAGACAGACCGGCGTGAGGCCCTGGAGGAGCGCCACGACCTGGTGAACAAAATCTTCTCCCTGCGCGAGGAGATGCGGCAAGCCGAGGAGCTGCGAGATAAGGTGACGATGATGCGATCATCGCCGTCGCGTGTCGGCGATGTTTTAAATGTTTAATCGCGTAAGAAATCATGCGGTGGGGAATGTAGGCATGATAAGTTTAGAGGTGATTCTCACTTGGTTTGCTTGGCTTGATGTCCTCGTATGCATCTTGTGTTTTGCAGATAGGTGGATGATTGCCCTGGTGTGTTCTCAGTGTTGTGATGATGATCGTGATAGTGATTGGTTTCATGTACTCAAGTGTAAACTGTGCAATGTGATAATAGTGGCTATTATTTTTACCGTAATTGGCATCGTGATGATATTATCAGCACAACTTTTACCGTGACTTTAAATGTGAAGCTATTGCTCATGAAAAGGTATTGTGGTGATAACGGAGCAAGCAAGTGATTATTTAATTTTTCACGTTTTGTTTAACTAGAAAAGCAGGCGCTTCCTGCCATGTCTTTGCAGATGAGGGTGACAGTCGCTGTTTCCACATTTAAGTGGTTTCCGGGTATTTTTTTTCTCTTGCTAAATTTAGATCATGATACCGGCACACATAAACCTTACTGTTCATCGAACGGCATCGCAGGATCGTTTTTACATCCACCGTGAAGCAGATTGGCCCGTAAGATATGCACAATGTGAACGCAGCATCAACGAGGACGGCCCGGCGGACTAGAACCGCGAGCAGCCTCGGCAAAGGGCGGTGAGCGTGCCGCCGTTTGGGCCGCGTCCGCTTTCCCCCTAAACGTTCGCCTCGACCGCCACCTCCCCCCCCCCCCCACTCTCCGCTCGCCGTGCTCAGTACCTGGAGGAGAAGCAGGACCTGGAGCTGCGCTGCAACACGCTTCTCAAGGACTGCGAGATGTACAAGCACCGCATCGGCACCGTGCTGCAGCAGCTGGAGGAGGTGGAGCGGGAGCGCGATCAGGTGAGGTGCTCCACGGTGGCTACGTGAACTACCTCGCCTGGTATGCAGGAGGTCGTGGGTTCGATCCCGACCCTGAAGATTCCTGTTGTATATTTGGAGTTTGCCCGTCTCTCTCCTCATGGTGAGATGTTAACTACCTCGCCTGGTATGCAGGAGGTCGTGGGTTCGATCCCGACCCTGAAGATTCCTGTTGTATATTTGGAGTTTGCCCGTCTCTCTCCTCATGGTGAGATGTTATTTACCTCGCCTGGTATGCAGGAGGTCGTGGGTTCGACCCTGAAGATTCCTGTTGTATATTTGGAGTTTGCCCATCTCTCTCCTCGTGGTGAGATGTTATTTACCTCGCCTGGTATGCAGGAGGTCGTGGGTTCGATCCCGACCCTGAAGATTCCTGTTGTATATTTGGAGTTTGCGTGTTCTCCCCGAGATTTCGGGGATTTTTCTTCGGGCCCTCCAGTTTCTCCCTCCACATTTAGAATCAACATCATGCGTTTAGACTTTAGAGTATTTGCCTGCTATACATTTCCACATGACAAGCTACTTCATTGAGCTATCGTTTGTGGCCAGGTCGTTTCTGAAAAAGAAAACAAGAATGGACACTTCCTCTTATGACATGCCGCCAATAGTACAATTCGGATAAAATTTGAGCAAAATTACAAAAACTATTTATAAAAAATGAAACGTTTTTCATGCCACTGTTGCGATACACAAGGTCTCATTTCGTTATATAAAAGTAGCATTTCCCGTAACGTACACGTGACATTTACTATTCATGTTTTTCACAAACTCGCGGTATATGCAAACGAGTGCCTCTTGAAAGTACATCACTTTTCCCACACACAGTTGCAAAACATTGGATTTTTCTGACCGCAGTAGCAACAGAGTCCTTAGGGGCTCCATTCCCCTTTGTCCCCCTTGTATCCCGACGTGCCCCCAATGCGCCCCCCCCACCCCCCTCGTCTCAGGCGTTCTCCTTGCGGGACGAGTCTCAGCGGCAGTACTCGCAGAGCCTCCTGGACAAGGACAAGTACCGCAAGCAGATCCGCGAGCTGGAGGAGAAGAACTACGAGCTGCAGATTGGGCAAGTGCGGAGCGATGGCGAGGTGCTGCTACTCACGGCGCGGCTGCACAAGGCGACTAACGTCGCCGACTCCACCAGGGACCTCGTGAGTGGCACGTGGCACCGAGGGCGGGGAGGGCAGTGCACAGGGAGGTGCGCCAATGATGTCAACGATCGAAAAGGAAAGCGGCCACATGCGGAAAAGGGAGCTCTTAGAGAAGTTTCAAGTTTCATTTATTAGGTATAGCCCTGTGAGCCATGCGGCTCTTGAGTCGGGTGCAACCGCAACAAACAAAATATGAACAGAGAAACATCTTAAAGCGACGACGCGCAACAGAAACATCCTGGGATAAACCAGCAAATCTTCCAGAAAAAAAACCCCACCGTATTACAACGCTGTGTGCAAAAATCCCAGTGTGATGCAAGTCAAACAATAACAACCATAAGACAATTTAGATTAAAGTTATAAGGCCTACTCCGCACTTCCGCAAGAAACATGGCTTAACCATATGTTTTCGAAATCACCAAAATAAAGCTATAAAGACAATGTAGCAGTAATCATAGGAACTGTGATCCAAATTTAACAATACACGATATACATAACATGTACGACCAAACTTGCAGCCATAGCTTGCAGCATGGCACTCCCAGTGTATGATGTGTGAGTGAGTCAGTGGTAGTGTGAGTGAGTGTATGATGTGTGAGTCGGCGTATGATGAATGAGCCCCTCCAGAGGGTAGCATGCGTACTCGTGCGTGCCTTAGCCCAGACATCTTTATTTGAGGGGGCTATTGCTGCGTTGTTGTCTTTGGTGATCTGGAACTCTTTTGATGTTGTTTTTGCTGCCTTGCCCAAGCTTGATAAATAGGTCTTTTGTACAAGTAATTAATTAACTATTCATTTATATTCAGTGACTTGCTTACCATTTTCTCTATTTTGCACTCTTAACGTTTCTTGTATTGTTTGCTGCTGTAACTTGCTGAAACCACCCATACTGGACATCTGCGAAAAAGAGCTTCTTAGCTCATTGGATTCTCTTCTCCTGTTTAAATAAAGAATATGAGCAATATTTTCCACTGCACAGGACCTGGCTGCTGAACTGTGGTGAACGGATAGACACTGCTGGCTGGATGCGGGGCGGGAGGGTATTTAAGAAACCTGGCCATTGTTGTTCACTGCTACACCAGGCAATTGAAATCGGCAACCTCTGGAGTCCAGTGCGCTCATCATTACACCACAACGGCACGCCAGTAGGAAAATATTGGAAAATAAATTCTAGCCCGGTGGTTAACCTTATCCAGCTGGCCAACCAGCAATGAAAATAGCCTTCACAGCACACTGACCCAGACACCGCTCATAACTGTACCTCTAGTGGTTTGCATAAGCCCGTTTAAAAATATGTTTTGTGTTTTGTATTTAGACCTTGACAGCACACAGGAATGTAGATGGGGTGCACATGAACACACGGAAGCACATGGACACAGCAAAATGCGCGGAAAAGCGCAGCTTAGTGGCAAGATAGGTGGCGATGAGTTACGGGGCGGTCACATGACGGTCTTCTTCCAGCGTATGTCAAGTAATCTGTGAAATATACAACCAGGTTTCAGTTTGTAAGCCTCGATTGTTGCGTATCCGGTCCGTCACCAAGGCGGTAAACACCGGGAACCGTTTGCTAGTTGGGTCACCCTCGGCTTCCGGCATGTACTCTTTGGTTCTATTCGCTAAAGTCACGTAGGTAACAAAAACGTGGCCGCTTCCGTGACTGACGTCCTGGAGGTTGGCGGCCGCCTGGGGAGGCGCAGCGACAAAGACGACGCAACGTGAGAGCCACCCTCCACCCTTGCGTGTTGCAGCTGAGAAGTCTCCTTACCTGCGCCCTCTCTCCACCCATCTCCCCCTGCCCAGCAAACGCTGCCCGCGCGGCTGAACCCGCACACGATCGAGCAGTTCTGGCAAGCGAGCGATGGCAAGAGCGGCAAGAGCACGGAGGAGTCGACGAGCGAGAGCGATGGCAGCGAGAGCAAAAAAAAGCATCCCCCAGTCCGGCAAAAGATTGTCAAGGTGGGATGAGGCGGCGGTGGCGGTGGCGGTGGTGGGGGCAGAACGCCTGCGTTGGTTAGCGTTATTTTTTTTTATTGTGTGTGTTTATGGTTTAACAAGAGCCCGACACAAAGCATGAACTGTAACAAGGGGGGGGTGGAGCAGGGCACAGCAACTTAGTGGGCAAAAGACCAAACTCGGTGCTCCTGGGGTTTTAGGGGAGGGGAGAAAAGTGTGCTCACGGCCCAACCCCCAGGTAGGTTCTTGTTTGGAAGGAGGTGGGGAGAGAGATAAAGTAAGGGGGTAGTAGGGGCGGAGTGGGGTGGGAGGAGGTGGTGGTGGTGGTACTGGTTGCGTTCTTAACGTTGGCTTTGTTGCCGAGTAGCTCTGTTAAGATTGGTATTTGCCATGTCGATTCGCAGTGCGCTAATCGGTCCCGTATTTCGGGAGTCGGCCCTCTACTCGGAAAGGCATTGTGAATGGGGAAAACTCACAACAGTTAAACTTCCCATCAGCTGTTAAGTAAACGGATGCGGGCTCTGGGACGAGGCGATTCTGAACTGAATGGTGGCAATTGTGGGAAATTTCCCACGCTCGATAACAGTTGGAATTCACTATCATTCTGCACGCTCAATACACTTGTCATCTTGAGGCTCCCGTAAGTCCTGATTTATAATACTGTCGACTTTGTTCTGGTTTAATGACGACAGTTCCAAAGTTGTGACGTCAGTGGGGAGCCATTTATTTATTGTGGCTGTTTGTTTTTGCGGTGCACAGTCTCTAACAATGCCATTCTTTTGTGTCTGACAGAAGCAGCGAGTCAAGGTTATAAAGCAACGAACTCTGCCCTCGCAGCTAAACTTCGGCAAGCCGGAGTGTGGTGAGTGTACTTTCAATGTCTAATCAAAGCACTTATTTAATGAGCTGATGTCTGGTGAAGTTGTGCAGATTTAAATGTAAAATAAGCAGCTAAGGTATTTTATGGAATATGTACGTAAGTGTTTCTTTGTATTATGAGACCTCCTTTGCCAGAAACAAGATATAGGAATAGGTTTTACCCTTTTAACTGGCACAAAAACTGACACCTTTATTCAAGGCATCATGTTTGCAATGACCACAACACAAGCAGTCAAAATGCAAACAAAAAAGACAACTCTGATAATAATATGCACTGTCCTTGAATTTGATTGGTCCACACCCGAGACAGCTTTTCTTAGAGCCTAGTCTCCATTGGTGTTGGACCAGAAGACGCCAAAAGGCGTACAACTCAAAAACAGCGCACTATCAGAGTATTGAAGGCTCGGGGTGAGCATTAACATTATGAGACCTCCTTTGCCAGAAACAAGATATAGGAATAGGTTTTACCCTTTTAACTGGCGCAAAAACTGACACCTTTATTCAAGGCATCATGTTTTCTGGCAAAGGAGGTCTCATAATGTTAATGCTCACCCCGAGCCTTCAATACTCTGATAGTGCGCTGTTTTTGAGTTGTACGCCTTTTGGCGTCTTCTGGTCCAACACCAATGGAGACTAGGCTCTAAGAAAAGCTGTCTCGGGTGTGGACCAATCAAATTCAAGGACAGTGCATATTATTATCAGAGTTGTCTTTTTTGTTTGCATTTTGACTGCTTGTGTTGTGGTCATTGCAAACATGATGCCTTGAATAAAGGTGTCAGTTTTTGTGCCAGTTAAAAGGGTAAAACCTATTCCTATATCTTGTTTCTGGCAAAGGAGGTCTCATAATGTTAATGCTCACCCCGAGCCTTCAATACTCTGATAGTGCGCTGTTTTTGAGTTGTACGCCTTTTGGCGTCTTCTGGTCCAACACCAATGGAGACTAGGCTCTAAGAAAAGCTGTCTCGGGTGTGGACCAATCAAATTCAAGGACAGTGCATATTATTATCAGAGTTGTCTTTTTTGTTTGCATTTTGACTGCTTGTGTTGTGGTCATTGCAAACATGATGCCTTGAATAAAGGTGTCAGTTTTTGTGCCAGTTAAAATGGTAAAACCTATTCCTATATCTTGTTTCTGGCAAAGGAGGTCTCATAATGTTAATGCTCACCCCGAGCCTTCAATACTCTGATAGTGCGCTGTGTTTGAGTTGTACGCCTTTTGGCGTCTTCTGGTCCAACACCAATGGAGACTAGGCTCTAAGAAAAGCTGTCTCGGGTGTGGACCAATCAAATTCAAGGACAATGCATATTATTATCAGAGTTGTCTTTTTTGTTTGCATTTTGACTGCTTGTGTTGTGGTCATTGCAAACATGATGCCTTGAATAAAGGTGTCAGTTTTTGTGCCAGTTAAAAGGGTAAAACCTATTCCTATATCTTGTTTCTGGCAAAGGAGGTCTCATAATGTTAATGCTCACCCCGAGCCTTCAATACTCTGATAGTGCGCTGTTTTTGAGTTGTACGCCTTTTGGCATCTTCTGGTCCAACACCAATGGAGACTAGGCTCTAAGAAAAGCTGTCTCGGGTGTGGACCATTCAAATTCAAGGACAGTGCATATTATTATCAGAGTTGTCTTTTTTGTTTGCATTTTGACTGCTTGTGTTGTGGTCATTGCAAACATGATGCCTTGAATAAAGGTGTCAGTTTTTGTGCCAGTTAAAAGGGTAAAACCTATTCCTATGTTTCTTTGTAAGTAATTAAATTAACTATAGTAACCTGTGAATTAAATACACTCATTGTACACTTGGGAAATAAAGGCATTCTGGGAAATGAATTCAAGAGTATGATGGCGTGGCTTTATCTTCTCACTGCCGTGTTCAGAGCCATGCATATTAACTTACTCAGCATTTTTTACATCATTGACAACCTGTGCACTGGTAGTCAAAATCTTGGACAGGAAATTTCACTCTGTCAGTCAGATCAAATAAAGCAGTGTGAAACATTTAGTCAATACATATTAATGCAACTTTTCCCCTCTCTAATATTATCAGTCAGCCAATCTATGAACAATGTAAATATTTTCTTAAAAATTTGATGTCCAATTGCCCTTTTCAACTTTCCTCAGTTAACAGCTGTCTCTAGTAACATCACTAACTTATCTTAGTCTCTGTCTTCATTCAGACTGGTGGAAAAAAATGTTCTCGTCATAGTCGGTCATGCCTTCATTTGTGACAATGTAGTCAGAGTCATTGTGCCTGATGATGTTTATTCACTTATATAGCCTTTGTTGACCAAAAAAAACCGTTGCATGTCTTCATCACTCGTTCCTTTGACAAAATGAACACAACACTGGTGCGCCAACCGCGTCTGTCGCGGTGCGTGTCATGCCATGCCACGCTCGGCTGTGCTTCACCTCCTATTAGCGCGGTTGGCTATGTACGGAGCGGAAGAAGTTCAACATTCACCGACATGCTGCGCTGTGCCACACACGCACAGAGGCCACTGGAACGCCGGGAGAGGAGAACGGAGATTCGGCCAACAGTGGCGACGATGACTGCGACGACACACAAGACGCGCACAACATGGTGAGCGCACCTCATCTCCGCCGCATGTGCTGACGGGGCGGATCGTGCTCTGACGACGGACGGACGGACGGACCTGCGGATTGGACGGACGGATAGACGGGCGAACAGACAGTAGTATGCGGCGTATGGATAGCGATTTAGCCAGGCGGTGGCGGTCGAAGGCTACGCACGTGGCCTGTAATCCAGCACTGTGGAGGCAGCGAGGGTTGGTGGATTGCACAAATGATGCGACACTTCCCTTCCCGTGGGCGTCAAGGTGCCATGGCTCTGGCTCGCTCGGAGAAGGTAGTAAAGCTAAAATGTGGACTCCACCTATTCCGGCGGTATGGGATCGTGTTCTTTTTCTTTCTTCTGGGTACTCTGGTTTGCTGTTGCATGTAAACACTCATTTATTCGCCGATGCCATCTTAATACAATGCAGGACAGTTGGCAATTGTTGGCACCATCCCACCGAGTGGCTGCATTCCTGCTTGCTTGCGGTCCCTCGCACCGAGTCATCCTGTCTCTCTCTCTCTCTCCCCGAGGGTGAGTGAATAGTAATTGAATGGCAAGCGTCATTCAAGTGACAATTAGTGTAGCAATTACATAAACGATGACTGTGAAGATAATAACAAAGAAGACAACAGCGGTGTTGATGACGCCATCGGTCGTGAAGGGCTAGGTGTTAAATTAGAAAACAACGCCACCCGTGATGACGGCGGAGACGGTGGTGGTGGCGAAGATGCCAGGTAACCTCCCGTCTAAATACTCGGACGCGTGGTGTACGTGCTAAGTGAAGGCATGCTGGGAAATCAGTTCGAGGGTGCTTCTTTGTTTCCGCCTTAGTATTTCTCACGAATGGCCAACGACGAGCAACGGGACCGCTTCAACAGCGTCATGTCGACCGAAGTGGAACCGCCGGGCCAGGAGTCCATCAAGAGTCGTGTGCAGGAGTACAAGAAGAGGCCCATGCCTAGGAGGTGGCAGTCACGCTCACGCACACACACACGCACACGCACTCGCGCTCGCTCACGCTCGCTCACACTCGCTCACACACTCATACTCGCTCTCGCGCTCACGCTCACACACTCACACTTGCTCTCATGCTCGCACTCGCACTCGCGCTCGCGCTCGCGCTCACGCTCGCTCTCACGCTCACACTCACGCTCACACAATCGCTCATACCCGTTCTCATGCTCTCGCTCGCACTCACACTCACTCACGCTCACGCTCACACAATCACTCACACAATCGCTCACACAATCGCTCACACCCGCTCTCATGCTCACACTCTCCCTAACACTCGCTCACACTCGTTCACGCTCGCACAATCGCTGGCTTTGTAATGCAGCGCGTGAACTGCTCCCCACATGCCCACACTCTGACATGCTCTCACATGCACGCACACTCACACGGTCTCACACACGCACACACACACACGGTCAAACTCCTATTGTCTCACCACCATTCTTCCTTTGCCGCTGGCTTATGATGTGTTATTGACTAGAGCACGCCATCTAAACTATGGGGCCCTACTGATGAGACAAAACTGGTCCAGAGTTTGCTCGCGTGAACAAATGCGACTGGACAATATTGGTCTGGAAAGCCATTATACTGATGGAAAAAATATATTCGGATGTGGAATCGCAGAATTCAGTTTTGCTTATAGCTGCACAATTATCGACAACAACACAAAAAACGCGTGGGTAAACTGTTGTGTGTCCACCGGTGACATTGCAAACCGAGCCTTGCCTCCCAATCCTCTTCCTGCCGTCCCACCTTAGGAGCTCCACAGTGTCCGAGAACAATGTGAGGGAGGAGGACGAGGACTCGCTTTGTCTCGGCGGAGTCGACACCGCAGCAGGGGACGCGTGCAGCTATCCCCACACCCCCCTGATCCCCCTGAGCCCACTGTGCCGGACCTACGTTGCTAACGGTAACTGGTCCCAGCCCAGAGCAGTGTGCACCGTCGGAGGACCCGTCGTTACCCCCCTCTCTCTCTCTCGCTCTCTTTTCCTCCACCTCCCTGTGGCCAATTCAGTTTTCAGTCATTCTGCCTCCTTGCACCCCTCTCCTTGGAGTCAACTTCCCCTGCACATTGAGCAGCACTGCAGCATAGACTCAGCACTGCACCATAGACTCAGCACTGCACCATAGACTCAGCACTGCACCACAGACTCAGCACTGCACCACAGACTCAACACTGCACCATAGACTCAGCACTGCACCATAGACTCAGCACTGCACCATAGACTCAGCACTGCACCATAGACTCAGCACTGCACCATAGACTCAGCACTGCACCATAGACTCAGCACTGCACCATAGACTCAGCACTGCACCATAGACTCAACACTGCACCATAGACTCAGCACTGCACCATAGACTCAGCACTGCACCATAGACTCACCACTGCACCATAGACTCAGCACTGCACCATAGACTCAGCACTGCACCACAGACTCAGCACTGCACCACAGACTCAACACTGCACCATAGACTCAGCACTGCACCATAGACTCAGCACTGCACCATAGACTCAGCACTGCACCATAGACTCAGCACTGCACCATAGACTCAGCACTGCACCATAGACTCAGCACTGCACCATAGACTCAGCACTGCACCATAGACTCAACACTGCACCATAGACTCAGCACTGCACCATAGACTCAGCACTGCACCATAGACTCAACACTGCACCATAGACTCAGGAGTGCCCATAGACTCAACACTGCACCATAGACTCAGCACTGCCCACAGGCTCAGCACTGCACCATAGACTCAACACTGCACCATAGACTCAACACTGCCCCATAGACTCAACACTACCCATAGACTCAGCACTGCACCATAGACTCAGCACTGCACCATAGACTCAGCACTGCACCATAGACTCAACACTGCACCATAGACTCAACACTGCCCATAGACTCAACACTGCACCATAGACTCAACACTGCCCATAGACTCAACACTGCACCATAGACTCAACACTGCACCATAGACTCAACACTGCACCATAGACTCAACACTGCCCATAGGCTCAACACTGCACCATAGACTCAACACTGCCCCATAGACTCAACACTACCCATAGACTCAGCACTGCACCATAGACTCAGCACTGCACCATAGACTCAGCACTGCACCATAGACTCAGCACTGCACCACAGACTCAGCACTGCACCATAGACTCAGCACTGCACCATAGACTCAGCACTGCACCATAGACTCAACACTGCACCATAGACTCAGCACTGCACCATAGACTCAGCACTGCACCATAGACTCAGCACTGCACCATAGACTCAGCACTGCACCATAGACTCAGCACTGCACCATAGACTCAGCACTGCACCATAGACTCAACACTGCACCATAGACTCAGCACTGCACCATAGACTCAGCACTGCACCATAGACTCAACACTGCACCATAGACTCAGGACTGCCCATAGACTCAACACTGCACAATAGACTCAGCACTGCCCTTAGGCTCAGCACTGCACCATAGACTCAACACTGCCCATAGGCTCAACACTGCACCATAGACTCAACACTGCCCCATAGACTCAACACTACCCATAGACTCAGCACTGTACCATAGACTCAGCACTGCACCATAGACTCAGCACTGCACCATAGACTCAACACTGCACCATAGACTCAACACTGCCCATAGACTCAACACTGCACCATAGACTCAACACTGCCCATAGACTCAACACTGCACCATAGATTCAACACTGCCCATAGACTCAAAACTGCACCATAGACTCAACACTGCACCATAGACTCAACACTGCACCATAGACTCAACACTGCCCATAGGCTCAACACTGCACCATAGACTCAACACTGCCCCATAGACTCAACACTACCCATAGACTCAGCACTGCACCATAGACTCAGCACTGCACCATAGACTCAGCACTGCACCATAGACTCAACACTGCACCATAGACTCAACACTGCCCATAGACTCAACACTGCCCATAGACTCAACACTGCACCATAGACTCAACACTGCACAATAGACTCAGCACTGCCCATAGACTCAGCACTGCCCATAGACTCAACACTGCACCATAGACTCAGCACTGCCCATAGGCTCAGCACTGCCCCATAGACTCAACACTGCACCATAGACTCAACACTGCACCATAGACTCAACACTGCCCATAGACTCAACACTGCACCATAGACTCAACACTGCCCATAGACTCAACACTGCACCATAGACTCAACACTGCACCATAGACTCAACACTGCACCATAGACTCAACACTGCCCATAGGCTCAACACTGCACCATAGACTCAACACTGCCCCATAGACTCAACACTACCCATAGACTCAGCACTGCACCATAGACTCAGCACTGCACCATAGACTCAGCACTGCACCATAGACTCAACACTGCACCATAGACTCAACACTGCCCATAGACTCAACACTGCACCATAGACTCAACACTGCACCATAGACTCAGCACTGCCCATAGACTCAGCACTGCCCATAGACTCAACACTGCACCATAGACTCAGCACTGCCCATAGGCTCAGCACTGCCCCATAGACTCAACACTGCACCATAGACTCAACACTGCACCATAGACTCAACACTGCCCCTGTATATTAAGCAGTCCCCCCTCCTTAACCTTCTTCCATTCCTCTCTTCAAGCCTCACCTCTCCTCCCATCCCCTTCCTCATCCCACCCCTCACCACTCCACCCCTCCACTCCGTCCCTCTCCTGCCCTTCCGTGACCCACCATTCCCCCTCTGTTATGGTCGCTCATTCCTCGGCCCTTGCGCATAGCCTCTGCCATCTAGATCACTTTTGCTGTCGTAACCGCTTCATAAAAAACTATGCAAAGTGCCTTGAGCTAAAGCGCTCTGTAAATATGAATTAAGATAAGATGGTGTACGCGATTGCGTGTCATTTTTCACAATGTTACACAACATGAGGGCAGAGCCCGTCTTCACCGAGCACTTGATCTACGTAATTGATCACTTGCGTACAGCTTTACTCTATGCATTTTGCAACGTGTAAGGTAAAGTTGCAGCCCTGCAATGACTTGTTCATGCCGCTGCTGGCAGAAGGGCCTGCACTGGAGGGCTCTATAAAAGTAGCTTGGCCTACTCATCCACGCTGGCCAAACATCCCGGAAGAGAAGGGGAGTACTCCCACACTTTACCCCATCCAACCACAACCCTGTCAACCGGCTGACCGTGGTGAAACACCTTTAGTCCCGGGGACAATTGGGGCAGGGGATCCCACGACACGATAACCGTCAACCTCTGGATCGCGGCTCCAGTCCAGTAACCATTTCACGAGGGAGGCGTTGTCGAAACGCGTGAATTGTCGCACGAAATGATGAAATGGAGAATCTGTCGAGAGAGAGAGAGAGAGATCTGCAGCCTTCTCGAGCTCGCTGAAGCGCAGAGGCTCTTTCCGCCAGCAACGGCGTGTGGGCGAGCAATTGCTGGCTTTGCCTTTCGGTCTTCTTTTCGTATGAATTAATAACAGCAGATTAAAGATGCAATTTTTTTATTTGTTACACACTCAATTGTTTGTTCACAAGCAGAGTGGATCTCGTCCATTCCTCATTTTAAAGGTGCGATTACGGCAGCGGGGGTGGGCAATTGCATACAGTGTGGTCGATGCCTTCCGTTAAAACGAGCGAATGGAGGAATCCTCTTGCTGAGGACAACGACGAGTAGCCGATGTACGACCGTGACGCCTCTCTTTCTCTCTCTCTCGCTCCGCGTGTCGCGACGCAGGGGAGCGCTCAGGAAGCAGCTCGTGCCGCTCGTCACTCGCCTCCTCGGGCTGCGACTCGCTGCTCGGGAACATGGAGAGCCTCTTGGCGGAGCTTGACCTTGACAACAGGCAGGTGCCCGGCACGTGGCGCCGGCACGCAGACACAGAAGCACGCCAGCACCACCACCGCCAAGTGGTTTGGCCCAACGTTGGTGTATGCACCGGGGAAGGTGAAGATGTCATCGTGGCCAAAGCTAAAAAGCTATAACTGAAATCCTGAACCAGCCGCTGAATTGCGCTCCGGCTATCTCCTGCCATTATCTCTTCCGCTACCATTCCTTCCACCCCCCCGCCCAGCACCTCCAATTAGCACAGTTGGCTACGTACAGTGCGAAAGACGTTAAATGTACGTGCATTTTTTTCTGCTTGTTTTACCCAGGAAATCCTCACCGAGTCTCGTGACTCTTTTGTCAAGAGGGTCCTGCCCTGTTGTTTTCGCAGTAAGGGGACGACGGTTGTTACGTATAATCCCAATTTGTGGGTAATATTTCCAACGTTGCAATTTTGGGTCCATGACGCCGGCACACAATGGCCTTCTCCCGTGAATGACATCACATGATCTTTAACGTCCACCGTATTGTTACACTTAGTACACGGGCAGTATTAATCAGAGCGGCCGCTGGATTCGAACCAGTGAATCCCTGCAACAAGCGGCTGACGTTGCTACTGCTCAGCGGGTATTCCACGCAAAAAAATAACAATTATAAACCCAATTGTTATATATATTTTATTATTTTATTGTTTCCCTTTAACGTGACTTTACCGAAAGAGCTAAGAATATGAATATAAACCCAATTGTTAACTTCATTGTGGATTGCTCTTCAACGCACACCAGTGTGCTGAAGCAAATGAACACGTGACAATTACGTTTATTTGGCTGTGTCGGGTGGAGGAGGTTCTGTGACACCAACAAAAAGTGACGATCTGTAACATTGGTGGCAAATGCCAACGCGTTAAATGTAGGAGGAGACCCTGCCATCAATTGTAAAGAACGTTCGTCTCTGGTAAATCAAAGGAAAGAAAAAGAAAAATCGTAAGTTGGGGTTTTATATTCTCGCTAATCTTGAGACTCGCTAACCTTGAGACTCTAATTGAATCACTTTTGGCTGCCACTTTTAAAATCCAGGCTTCAAATCTAGAACTATGTTCTGTGTATAATTTATGCACGTATTTACTTTGGCAGAGCGATTAACTGGTAATTGTAAAGGTTGCCATTCCTAAGCCCGTTTGGACATCAACTCTCCCAAAGCCAACGGAATGAGTCGGTACTCTGTCCTATGCCATGGTGATATGGAATTCCTGTCACTGTCTTAGCATCACCTACACACATTTTAGCAGGGAAACAATTGTTTTTTTGTATTGGCCGTTTATTTTTCTCTAACCAGGTGGGCATCCCACGTGCGTGTGTGCTTGCAAGTGTTTGCCACCCGGGTTCAATTCCCAGCCATGCATATCGGTGGAAAATCGTATATAACCCTGTACTGCTTGTCCCGTAGGATGACTCCGATTACACATCACTCTAGGCCATAGAAAACTTGGTTAGAAATATCAGAACTGCACTCGTTCAATCCCATTGACCTGTTTGTATGGGGAGCGGCAGTGTGATGTTTGTCACAGTGCGCGCCGACCCGAGTTCTATGCACACTCGCAGCCAACATCGGTGACGAATATCAGAACCGGTCCTGGGCCTCCCGCAGGTCGACTCAACCTTAAATGTGTACATAGTGTGGTGCATAAACATCAGCACCGCGGAGAGACGGGTAGCTGGGGTGTGGCGCTGACCACACCACCTGTAGTTTGGCGCGCCACGTCCGTCTCGGCGGGCGCCCGCGAGCAGCACTCGCCCCTCCGTTCTCTGTGATGCTAAGTGGAGGTGGGGGGACGAGCGGTGGATCCGTGTCTTTCTCGCCGCAGGCCGTTTCGTCCGTCCGCGTTCTCGGTGAGCGTCCCGACCGCGCCGGTCCGGCCGACGCTGCAGGCGAGCTTAAGCGCCGTCTCGCTGCGCGACGACGTCACGGTGATCGGTGGCAACGAGAGCGGCGTGTTCGTGCGGAGCGTGCGTCCCGGCTCCTCCACGGAGCGCGCCGGCCTCAAGCCCGGCTACCAGCTGCTCGCCGTGAGCGTCGCGCACCCACGCAAACACGCGCACCCACGCATACGCTTACGCAAACACCAATGAAGCGGCGCTGATGGTGTATTCTTATTATTGCTATTATTTTCTGCCGCTGCTGCTGCTGCTACTGTGCATTTCAGTGGCCAATTGCCTTAGTGCTGGTGTGTGTTATGGTACAGAGCCACCCTTGAATCGAGCGATACTCAGGTGAGTGCCTGGTGTGGTGTGTAAACGTTAAAACCGGGGAAACAAGGCTGGCCAGGCGTGGTGTGGGCTGCACCTCCGATTAGCACGGTTGGCTTTGTAGGGTGTAAAAGAAGTTATACATAAATACATAGCACCCCCTTGTGCACCACTTTGGCCCGAATAGCTGCTCGCAAGCACCACTCGCCCCACCCCCCCCCCCCAAAGTCTCTTAAAGGCAATCCTGTCGATCTTTTTGTTTGTGTCTACGAAAGTTCTCGGAGAAACAAAGGGATAAATATGGATGCAACAAAAACAAAACCCATTCACCATTAAAGTGTAGGGCCTGTTGGGGGTGGCGGCGGTGGCTTGGGATTGATGTTGGCTGATGACGACGATGATGATGTCTGTGCCCATGCAGCTGGAAGGCAAGGTGAAAGGTGAGGTCCAGAAGGTGTCCCTGGAGAACTCCACCAAGGAGGAGACGCACTGGGCCCTGCAGCACTGCCAGGGGCTCGTGCAGCTCTTCGTGCGCACCAACATGGACGGTGTGGATGACGCCACAGCTTCCCCCGGGCTGAGCCACATGGCCCTCCTTTCCTAGGCGCGGGCGTAATGGGGTGTGATACGGACCCAAGTTTACAAGATTCTGGAGCGATCGTATGCGGCGGTGGTGGTGGTGTTCTGTACATTTTTGGAAAATTTCTAATTTGCCCTTTTTTTGTTTGTTTTGTAGCTCGCAAACTAAGCCTGCACGCCCAAAAAACCAAGTGGGAACTTTTTTTTTGTCAAAAACTAACTGGTTACTTAAAACGCATCACGATATTTTTCCTCTCCAGTAACAGGGAAAAAAAAGATGTTTATAAATATACTTTAGCTATCTGTTAATCATTACGCAAGTTTGCTGCTGCAGCAGCAATCTCATATCTCAGTTTTGTGGTAGCTCGAGGCAATCGGAAAACTTGGGTTAGAAATAGCAGAGTTGCACTCATTCAATCCCATTGACCTGTTTGTGTTTGCATGGGGAGCGGCAGTGTGGCCATTGGAACAGTGCACGCAGAGACCCCGAGTTCTCTGCACACTCGCAGCGAACATCTGTGACGGATGTCTGAACCGGTCCTGGGCATCCCCTAGGTAGACTCAGCCTTCGACAACTACCTGGCTGTGTAAACGTCAGCACTGTGGGGACGAAGGCAGGCAGCGAGACGTGGCGCTGGCCACCCATCCCCTCGTGTGCCGTGCCAGCCTTCATAGTTGCTCACTATAACAGCACTTGTCCCAAGAGTCTGTTCGAAGCTGTACAGGGGAGGTTTGACTTTGCATATACAATGATTCTTCAGTTAATTGACTAAAACGCATCCTCGTGATAGACGCATTCACATAACGTGCATGAAAATGAATTGTACGAGACGTATGCGTGATGGGTTCGTGCTCCTGGACGAGATCAGCAAGGTATTGTTGTTGTTAAACGTTGTTAAACGTCCGTGCATACGCGGCCGCGTTTATAATTGTGGGGTGCGGTGGGGGTGTGGGTTGCGCAGGCCACCGCAAGCTGCAGGCCCTGCTGGAGGGAGGCACGGTGACGTCGGGCGACTCGTTCTTCGTGCTGGTGAACGCGAGCGTGTGCGGCCTGGCCGAGGGCTGCACGATGCACGCGGCCTGCGAGGACGTGCTGCACGTCACCGACACGCTGTACGAGGGGCGCGCCGAGTGGCGCTGCTCCCGCGTCGACCCCTACACAATGCGCGACGGCGAGACCGGCACGCTGCCCAGCTTCCTGCGGTAGGTCGGCTCGCGGTGCGTACACGTCGCCACTGGGGAGACAAAGGCGGTCGGGCGTGGTGCTGGCCAGCCCACCCCCCCTCGTGTAACGTTCCGGCCTTCATAGGTGCTCGCGAACAGCGCTTGCTCCCCTACATTCTGTTAAGGCTATACGGGAGGAGGGGTCTTTGTCTTTGTACGTGGGAGCAGCGATGTGGTGGATTGTGCACCGAGCACTATATTCCTGATTAACCAGTTTAATTAGTGGGCGTGCACAAGACTACTCTCGGTCAAACCAGCTTTCAGTGATCGTATGCTGTGTGGTACCAACAATCAGCGTTGGGAGTCAAAGTGGGCAATGGTTTGCGTGATCGTGGCTGTGTTCGAATGCTCGCCTCAACGGCTGCTGGCATTATTGCCTTTAAAGCTGAGTTGCGTGTGTTTAGACACGAGGCCAAACACTCATGCATGGAATTGACAATGCATTTCCAATGCAGGAGCCTGCTGAAAAAATATTGAGGGTCATTGAGGATTTCTACCGGGTAAATAACGGGCATTGTTATTATTATAGTTGTTGGTGGTGAGCAGCGGTACAGGAGATAATGCACTGAGCTATAAACGTGGCAACCTGAGCCTGGTTCCACGCCATGGCTAACGTTGGTGACAAACAATTTACCCCTTCCTCAAGCTACACCAAGCCCCGTAAATAGCAGTTTCAACGATTTCAATCTCATATTCTTGGTTCTTTCGGTAAAGTCACGTTGAAGAGAAACAATAAAATAATGAAATATATTGTTTTATATATTTTTTATATATTGTTTTATATATATTTTATTGTTTCCCTTCAACGTGACTTTGCCGAAAGAACCAAGAATATGAATCACTGCAGTCACGAAAGCTTTAAATCAAGATTTCAATCTCGACAAGAGAGAGACGCGACAACACGCAGACATGCAGGAAGGGCAGCCACATGGTGGTCCGGCGCCAGCAGTTGCCCAAGCGGTGTACGCCTCTATATAGGGAGGTGTTTTCAGCCAATTAATGATGAGTGTGTTCATACTTGTGGGAGGAAATCGGATCACCCAGGGAAAACCCCACGCTTGCGAGGGGGCAACGCTCTATCCCATGCAGAAGGGACGATGATATTCGTCCATATTTTGCAGCACCGTTTTCTCTTCACAAGCTCGAGTACAGTACCTCCTCGACCCTCATGGGAAGAGAGTTTCACAGCATTTGCGTGGTCCAAATGATGCTACCAGATAGGCCTTCATTGCAGAGTGGATTTACAAAGGGCTGCCATTTGTATCATTATTTCCAATGTATTATTTTAAACGTCTTCTATAAATACCTCACCGTGTTGGCTAGGTACCACCCATTGATTGAGTCAGATGTGATTACAGATGTAAAATTTGTAAAGGAATGTGGTGTCAGTTTTTACAGACTTGGGAGAGTGAGAGGGGCAGTTCAGGAAGGTGGTTGTGGCTTCAGCAGCTGAGTTTGCTTCCCTGCCAAGACGGGCGTGGGAAAATCTTCAATCTCCCTCGCACTGTTGCTCCTCACAGCTCCCTCCCTCCCAGCTCCCTCCCTCCCTCCTCCCTCCCTCCTTCCTCCTGCAGTCTGGGAGAACACCAGCTGGCATTGCCCACGTGCATTTACGCGCACAAGCACTGTCTATTCAACCGAAAATGCAAAGAAAAAGACGCTCGACACTCTATCATTGGTTCCGCCATAATTGTTTTGTTGTTCTTAAAAAAGAGCTTTTCCCTCCCAGAGAGGTTTTTAATCAGTTACTGGCTTCACTTTTCAGACGGGATGAACACCAATGTTTTCGGTCTCTAGTCCGGTTTAACTCGCGCGTAGAACTTTGATTTGTTACCTTAATTTACACTTTATTTTCCATATTTTTCGCGATTCGTGCTTTGTCGGCATGATGGCGACGAGTAAAATAATGAATTCGGAACGCTCAGCGCGGAGCAATGTTCCCGCAGAAGTTTGTATCACAGAACTGCTTCTATCACCTCTTGCACACTCTTCACAAACCCCCATTATGCATTGCCATTGAGAATTCAGGGTATTTGTTGAAGGGACTGAACTCTGGACCGCTTTTCACCTTCTGGCTCTCATCAGAAGCATCAGGCTTGTTCACCAAATTCTGTTGGATTACCAGACGTTATTGGCAAGAGCACTCCATTCATATATGTGACACCATTCAACGTAAAAAAAGAAACACTTATTCTTAGCTCTTTCGGTAAAGTCACGTTGAAGGGAAACAACAAAATAATAATATATATATAAAACAATAAAAATTCTGACGACCGTTTGTGATATGGTCGAAACGTCGTGAGAATTTTTATTGTTTTATATATATTTTATTATTTTGTTGTTTCCTTTCAACGTGACTTTACCAAAAGAGCTAAGCATATGAATTACTGCAGTCACGAAAGCTTTAAATCAAAAAGAAACACTTGTACAGACCACCCTACTACACAGAGATATTTCCGTTGTGTGGCAGTCGATGCAATGTTTTTAATTCCTAAAAACCCAGAATTTCACCAAATGAAGTACAAACCCAACTTTAATACGATGGGGGTTTTTTTTGTGCAGTTAACAGTGACCGGACTAAGACTGGTCAATTCGCGACTCTTGATACGCCGCATTAGTCAAGAGTGGCTGCCAGGCTCTGAACCGAGGATTAAGTGATGCCAGCTTCAGCGATCTAACACCTAAGCCACCTGGCCACCTTGTTGTTACCCTTAAGTTTGTTATTGGGATCTCGTTTGATCATGAATTTCCTTTGTACCTTACACATTTTATAATCCAGGTCTCCATTCCAAAAGAGTTTTTTTTTTATTTTATTCTTGCTGGTAAGCCACTGTAGTCTGTGGTGCTTCAATGGAGGATTGGCCAAAGTACATGAAGCATTTCCGTGGCGAGCAGACCTCAACAAGTGGCATTGAGAATCTGGAATTATTCCCATGATATTCAAGAACAAAAAATGGTCTTGGTCGCTTCTCATCTGAATTTAAATAAAGGCGTCGCTGCTTCTCTTGTTTGCTCCTGCCTCGGGCGCATTTCTCTCACTCAGAGCCCAACAGTTGCTCCTGGCCAAGCTGAAGAGGCTCATGAATCGACGCACCAGCTCGGATGAAACGGACTTGTACGGCGCTCAGGGCAAGATGAGAAAGGTGTGGTAGCCACAGAAATGTCCCAAAGTCGGGCCGCGCCGTGCGGCTGCTGTCGCGTCGATTTCAATGAGGCGGGGAAATGGTGTGGTCAGCACTTGTCATCGAGTTGCTTTCCACAAAGTCAAAGGTTTCAACTCCCACTGCAGGCAAACCGGTACGGCAATTTTTTGTTTGGGGAAAACAAACGGAATGTGTCACTTAAATATCTTGAAGATATTACCTCCTCAAGTACAGTTTGATCCGTATTAAAGCGCGCAAGTTGTTTTAGTCGCAAGCTTGCAACATGCATGGATTGCCTTGGGTTCAGCGGCGTGGTACATCGGAGACAAGCGCAAAGGCAGCCAAAAGTGACGGCAACAATTGCCCCAAGCTCTGTGGCCCTGAATTGGGATGTTTTGCCAAACTCCATTATACACGTGGGAGAAAACAAACGGCGAGATTCCCACGCATGCGCGCTGGGCAACCTGATTCCCCGCCCTCCGCCCCGTACAGATGGAAACAGACAGATTCATCCACTTGCTGGACTGGGTTATGGCATCTGGACTCCCTTTGTAAGAGAAGTTCATGACATTTGTATGAATCATCAACTCTCGCTTTGACAGTGGTGGCTTACAGACGCACGCCACCATTGCCTGGCCAATGTAAAGAATGACCCTAATAATAATAAATAAAAACTATACCAGAGGGTCCCCAAAATAAAAACAAGGTTTTGTTTTCCAACATGAAAATTAATAGACCATCATCTTTGTGGGACTTGTGCACCAAGTCTCATCAGTAGCATATAACCTGTTAGGTTAATACCGAGCCCTTTATGAACACCATGGAGCCCATTCAGTGTATGATAACAAAACGTTGTACAACAGTTATTATCAGCTGTTTTGGTGGATTGTGGGTAATATAAACCAGAGGCCTCCATAATCGCTGGAGCAAAATTGCACAAAACACTAACCAGAACCTGAGGTCAAAATGTAATTGCAATTACAGAAGTTTTGTTGGCTGAAAATACAATGATCTCGTGTTTACAAATTAATTTGCGAATGAGACGATTACAATTGTAATTGACCCCTGGTATTAAAGGCGTCCTTGGTGGATTGTGGGTAACATTTGTCCAGAAACCACTATCCTGGTTTCAAGAGCGGCAGTCTTTCTCTGGGATTTATCATTTCCACGACGTATTTCGCACCGCACAAGGGAAACGCCACTTATGGGTGGCGCAGAATAACCCAAACAAAAGCAAGAGCGGACTTGGTGGCCCGGTTCAGAATCCCCACCCTGCTCTCAGAGCTCCAGCTGACATCCGGAACCTGGCGCTGGCCCCCGCTCCTGCCGTCTCTTTCCATCATCGCTTCCGCCACCATTCCTGCCCCGCTCCCCCGCACCTCCGACTTAGCACGGTCGGCTACGTACGGTGCGATAGAAGTTCAGCATGCGTAGATGCATCTCGCACGATCCCCGCTCCCCCTCCCCCCCCTTCCAGGCCTCCCTGCAGTGCAGTTGCAGCCTCCCGAGTGACGTTGGCCCCCGGGCGGTGGACACTGGCCGGCCAGGAGGAAGCGGCCTCCGGGTGGGCGTCATCGACCACTTCCTCCAGGTTTAATTTCCTCTTTTTTCTCCCCCCCCCCCCCCCACCTCCCTTTCCATAATCGGCCTCGCGCAGCTTTCTGCGGCTTTCTGCCGATGGACTCCCCACCCCCTCCCCCCCCCCCACCCCGAAATTCAGCTGCGCCGCTTCTCACCAGGGCACGCTCAACCTCGGCGCTCCACGGCAAACCCTCGGTTGTGACGGTTTAGTTGATGCCGCTGGGGACGGCCTCTCTCCGTCCACCACCTGTGTGATTTGCAAGCCCCCCCCCCATCCCCACCCAGTGATGGGCAGCACTTAACACAAAAAGCCATCAAGATATGTCAATTCATGAAGCAATACTTATGTTTAAGCCAACCGTACATGTCTTGTAAACATCGCCATTTTGCGTCACGTGTTTGACGTATGTATTTGAATTCTGAATTTGAATCGCGACCTTCAACTGTAACAATAATTTTAATCGTGGGGGGAGGAAAGGAGGGGAAAGGTGGGTTGATAACCGTTACACCTCTACCCAGCGACTCGTACGCTGGTCTGTGATCATTAAAGTGGCAATGATTAATTATCGGCCATTAGCAAGGGACCGTAAGTAGTAGGCAGCAGGTGGTCAAAAGCGTCAGCAGTGCTGCGTACGGAGCCAGCAGTGCCACCAATACCGCGAACAAAACAGCGCAAGCTTCCACCGTGTAATGGAAATTCGCGGGCACTCAGAATAGAAAACAGAATAAAAAATATATATATATTGAGCATCGTTATGATAAATTGCAATTATATACGGCGCCATGAAACAGATGAATTAATAAGTTAATGTTATAATTATAATTGCTGGTGTTGGCTAAGCTGCGCTGGGCACTGTCTGTGATCACTATTTAGCTCCAGGGCTGCCACTATCATGGCCATGGCTGATAAAGCAGCTGTGCTGCATGGTTTATTTTTTTTTACAAAATCGTTTTTGAGCGCTTCAACTGGATACTTTTGGGAACCGCGTTCTCCACGCTTAAGAAATATAATGAAAGAAACCTTAAAGTGGAACATCTAAAACAAAAACTTTGTTTTGGAGGAAGAGTTATAAACAAAAAAAGAAGGTTTGATGGTTAATTTTTTTTATATATATAAAATAATCGAAAAACACATTTGCCAAGAGCAATATTGAAATGTTGTGTTTAGAAAACTCGGGCGATCCCTTTGTAATTCGGCCCCCCTGTTCACAGAGCTCACGCTCACTCCCTGTGCAACAACGACGTGTGATCCGTCGGCGGGTGACTCCTGCACGAGTCCATAGCCCCTGCAGCCCAATCCAGCCGATGTTTCCAAACAACTCCGTGTTGTTTTACACGGCATTCGATTACGAATGTGCACTGAGATCGTGCTCCTTAGTCTTGTTATTTATTTCTTGGCCAAGTAATGCATCTCAGAAGATATGCCCCTCTTTCTCACGCTCTGGCCACAATTCTGTCTGTCACCTGATGAGGCTGGTTGTAATTACTGGCGACATGTTGCACGCGAATTGTAAATGTTTACGTTCCAACACACCGGTGTGATGAACGAGTAACAAATGGGCAGGTTTTGTTTACGTGACAAACCTCAATTGGCTGTGTCGGGTGGTGCTGGGTTTAACGACACATGAATGCAATCTAGCCCACAACAACTCTTATGGCCTGGTGGTTCTGCGTACGTTATGTGAATAGCAATCGGAAGGCTTCGGGGTCGTTTCAAAATGTTCACGATTTTCAAACTGCTATCTGCGTACAGTGTTTGTGTGTGTTTGTATACACTGCATGGCGACCGATTTAAGAAACAGCCTGGTGTTGCACTCTGGAGTGTTAAACACACCATGGTAGCGGTTGCAGGTTTGACACTGGGCAAGGGTCAACTCTGCCCCATAAGCTCTTCCAGGGTAAATAAATGAGTGCGATTTCCCCAGAGCGTTAACACTGGCCATCCTATGGAGGAGACTGGCCTCTGTGATAGGAATGGCCAAGTTCCACTGCTGGTCTGGGGCTGCCAAAATAGAGGAGCGCAACCAAACGGTTGTCTCTCATCCCTTGCACGCCCCTGCCATCCGAATCATGTACCTGTACCTTATTACAGATCAATTCAGACCTTATTGGTCATCCCGTGCCCTTATAAATCTCAACGTTCACCCTACAAAGTCCCATCACAAGGGAGAAATACAAGCAAATAGACAAAAAATGCCTGTATTGAAACGGCTGTACGCCGTATGGAGCTGAAACTCAATTTCTCTATACAAGAATACGGGTAAACCGTATGGGTTTAAAGCTATGGTATCAGGTTTTTGCTCATACCGTTTTTTTAATTTCGTAAAGTGATTTAAACAAAGGCACACTCGGTACGTAGAACAATAAGATATTTGAACGCAGTGACCGCCAACATTTAACTCGTCTGAGATTGAGGTGCGTCACGAACGCTCGCGAGTGCACCGACTGAAAACACCTTGCTGCTCTGCCAAATGCCTCCGTCAGACCTGCGCCTCCACTAGAGGGAGGTGTAGGGTCTCTCTGGAAACGATTCTTAAATTGGTTGTGCAAATCCTGCGTCTGAATCTTTAGGGAAATCACCCACACACATGTTCGGTGGGATCCGTGTGCTTGCATATAAAAAAAATGTTGCTGCTGTTGCAGTTTTTTGTTGCCGCTGTGGTCTGGTTGTTGTTAATGGCACTGGCGCCGATGGTGGTGGGGCTGATGGTTGATGATGGTTGGTAATGGTAGTGAGGAGCTGTTTTCGTAGCGATTGTGGTGCACTTTACAGTACACGTTCCTTAGCAACCACAGCGGCAATTGGGGCTGTCGACTTATTCCCACGTGACTGGGTCTCCCCCAAAGTTGACGACTCGGGCTAAAATGAGTACCTGCGGTGGGGCGGTGGGCGAGAGGAAATGCAAGTGGCCGTGCGTGTCGTCGCGGATTAACGGAGTTCAAATCCAGGTCAACTTTTGAAACGTCGTGAGAATTTTAGTGTTTTATTTTATTATTTTATTCTCATTCTGCGTGACTTTACCGAAAGAACCGAAGAAGACCAGGTCAACTTCTTTATTCCAATTCCTCGAGTCGGTAAAATGAGCACCAGTAGGTGAACACTTGTGGGCGTGTTGACGCATCTGCTGATCGGTTCATATTGTTGTAAAGCTCACGGTTTATCCATCGCGCCGCATGCGTAAGAATCTTTATTCTTCGATTATTAATTGTTGTATTTAATGGTTTGTCACCTTGGCAGCCACTTGAGCCCACTGAAAATATATATGTAAAATAAGATTCTGAAACTCCGAATCACAACAATTCATTTACTTACTGGCTGTGGTTGGGGAGGTGATGGGTCTTTATATTCCACCTTGTCTTCCATTAGAAATGTGGGATTTCCACCACTGGCTCGGGACAGCCAATGGAAATGAGAGCATCGCTTTGTGCTTATTTGATTCAGCAAGGGGGGATACTTGGACTTTCTGCCAGAGATATGAGGCCTAGTATGCGTTTAAAGTAAATATACTTTGGGATTGCAGCCGAAAAAGTCCACTGATGAGACTTTCATTAATATCATTGTGAAAAGTAAAACAGAAGTCTGCTGTGTAAAGTTGAAATGCCGGCCGGCCGTTATGCATCCTACGTATACATTTGTTCCGCAAAGCAAAAGGGACTGGCACTCGCCGTTTGGAGCCATAAAGGAAATGTGCCAAGCGAGATACTGCCGCCAACGTGATAAGTATCATGGAAACAATACCTTTAATACTCGAGCACTTCTTTCTGTGGCATCTACAAGCAAGGATGTTGTAACTACGATAAAGCCTACCTGCCATACTTCCTTGGCAGCTTACAGCAAGTCTCCGAAGTGCCACATATCCTTTAAATCACCAATTGAAGTGTTGCACATAGCCGGAAGCCGAACACTGGACGAGTTAAAAAATATTATCATCGTTGTTTAACTGTTACGTGGAAAAGTATATATATTTTTTGTGAGTATTGAAAGAGGTATGCGTACTCTCACTTTACACGACCTGCCAACTGCATAGCTGTGGTGAACACTGCTGGATGCACAGAGGCAGCGTATTTGAGAAACTTGCCCCGTTGTTTCAACTGCCACTCCGGGAGGTTGAGTCTGGAACCGCCGAGCTGTGGATTGCAAGTCCTGTGAGCCACCGTAGCAGCGTCCCCTACGAACAGTATATGCTATTAACAATCAAGTGATACACAAGGAGCCGTGACATGACATCCGTCTTTGGGAGGCAGTACGAGCAACAAGTGGGTTCCTCTCCTACCTGTGAGGATCTCGAGAGTTCCTCGTCCGTGGTGGGTTTTCTCCGGGCACTTGAGTTGCTCCTGCCGAGCCCAACACCCCGCCTGAGAGGGTGACTGAATGTTACGACACAGGGACACGTGGCTGATGCACTGCTCGATGAACAACAACGGTGTTCTTGTTGATATCGACATAACGATGCAGTAATCCATCGACATAGATTTCTTGTGCTCACAACGTATCGCTGTGAATAACCGCTGCATAAAGTCGATTATTTACTATTCGTGATCATTGCTAATGGAATTCATGTGGAGCAATCGCAAATGTACAAACGAGACTGAAAAGTTACAGTCAAAACCCGTACTACTGTGGTGCCATTGAAGTGAAATTCATTGCTTTAGACTTTAGACTCTCTTGAAACCGGTAAGCCAATTTGAGGTAAACTGCTCTCTTTCAAGGGCAACCTGCCCATAAAGCCAGCATTGGTGGCACGTGATTGCTGTGCTGTACTTCTGCGTTTGCACTTTCTGTGCTCACGACCAGCACGACTAAGTGTGGTTTGGTCCACTACTTGTACGACAGAAACCCTTCATCCAGAGTGACACGTGCAGGGATTCTAAACTTAACTATAAACGAAACCATTTCTCTTCAATGTTTCCAGGTAAGGCCCACTGAGCATGTTGATTCTAAACGTGGAGGGAAAACCAGAGGAGCTGGAGGAATATCCACATGACCACGCAGAGGACATGCAAATTACAAATATACAGGCGTCAGGGTCAGGATCGAACCCACGACCTCCTGTATACCGGGCAAGGTAGTTAACATCTCGCCACCATGGCGCCCCCTACCATAGCTAAATACACGTTCATGTGTGTTGGCACTCGTTGTGCGATGGTCAGAACACTGAAATGGCAATCCAGAAGTTACGTAGAAGGGAAACAATAATAAAAATATAAAACAATAAAATTATCACGACGCTTCGACTGCAACACAAGCAATCATCATCAGGTGTGAAAACCACAGCAAGAAAGTTTGAAAGAAAGTTTGAAACTTTCTTGCTGTGGCTTTCACACCTGATGATGATTGCTTGTGTTGCAATCGAAACGTCGTGAGAATTTTATTGTTTTATATTTTTATTATTTTATTGTTTCCCTTCTACGTGACTTTACCGAAAGAACCAAGAATATGAATCCCTGCAGTCACGAAAGCTTTAAACCAAAATTTAATCCAGAAGTTGTTCAATTTTACCTCCCGCGGTTGAAACAATGGTGCAAGTTTCTTAAATCCTCGTGCCTCTGCGCACCCAAGCAGTATAAACGGGAGCAGCAGTTACTCTCGGCAGGTCACGTGTGGTGGGGTAAAGTGTGGGTACTCTTACCTCTTCCAAGACTTTTTATATTTTCCCACGTAAGAATCGTACAGTGGTGAATTGTCAAAGTGAAAAATGTAACCATAGTTTGCTCTTATTTTTTACGAGTGTTCAGCTTCACGGCTACGTGCAGCGCTTAAAAGTTGATGTTTTAATTTGAGGAACTCTGGTGAGCATGGACGATGAGCCCAAATTCCTACTCGAAGGGCGCCCTCTCGGAGGCCCCCTCGAGTGGAGGCCGTTCCACCAGCAGTGGCGCGTGAGCGAGGAATTGCAGGGCTGCACCTGAACAGCACCCACCCTCATCCTGTCCTCACCTTTTCCATTTGTTTAACCGACGCCAACCTTCGGTCATCGCCTGTTCGTCGATCTCACACCACCTTCCCGCCCAGCAGCTGCTGGGCCGATCGGAGGTGCAGCCGTACAAGCGGCAGTCGAGTGGAGAGCGTATGCGCCTCATGGCGGGTACGGCGGGGCCTCTGCGTTGGGCCTGGGAGGCTCCGGCCTCGCTGGACGGCATTGGTGAGTGTCGGAGTGAGGATCGCAATCTTTATCTATCCCGGGGAAATCCGATGAGCTACGAAGCGGTTGTTTTTGTTCCACAGATGTCAAGTAGAGGCAGGGGGGGGGGTCAGCAAGTTAGAACGAAAAAAACACAAACACGACAGGCACGCAAAGTATAGGAAACGTAAGCAAATTACTCAGAATTCATGCTTAGAATAGATCAAATATTCAAAGCAAACATTTTATAAGTACACTCGTTCCCAAGCTTGGGCAAGACATCAAGACAACAGCAAAAAAACAGTGCCAGACCACACCAAGATGACACACAGTAAGTAGTCCCTCAATAAAATTGCACATTATAATGTAACTATGGATACATGGGTAAGGATGAAAGTTACAAATCACATTTTGGAAAATGCGGTTGTATGCAGCACTAATCTTCTGCTTAAGTATATTAGCCCAAATTGGCCAAAAACAACCGCTGGGAGGCTGGTTAACAAAACAGAACTATTGAAGATCCACAGGGATAAGCCCCTGCTCCCCTCCTTGCGGCCTATGCCTCTTGACGATGTTGAACGCCCTTTTCTGGGCCATTTGCTCAATGATACATCGCTCCTCTTCTGCTGGTACCGCTAAATTAATAGGAACCAGAGTGGCGAGATGTTGATTACCTCACCTGGTATGCAAAAGGTCGTAGGATCGATCCCGACTGACCCTGCTGACGCCTGCTGTATATTTGGAGTTTGTGTGTCTCTCTCTCTCCCCGCTGTTGCATGGATTTTTCTCCGTGTCCTCCGGTTTATCCCTCCACATTTAGAATCAACGTCGCGCGTTTAGAGTATTTGGCTGCTGGTAATTTACACGCGATAAGCCACTTTCTTGAGCTATCATTTGTGGCCAGGTCGCTTCTAAAAAAGTGCTATATAGCTCAGTGGGGCCTTACCTGGTAAAATAAAAAATAGTTTTATTTTAAGTTTTATAATGGAATGCCCCTTCCTCTGGCTGTACCCAAGTGTACACCGAGCAGTGGCGGCTGGTCAGGAGGGGCTGGTGGGGCCAAGAAAACCGCTGGCGAACAAAAAAAATCCATAAAAAATACTTGCACGCGAATTATAAACCGCGTGCTATTCGATGTTCGGCACGAGGTGCAGCACAGCTTCGTGAGGCGGCAGAGCGCGAGTGGTCATGCAGTACTGCAGCTGTGGGGGCTGGGCAACTGCCCCCTTACTGTGAAGCGGTTACATTGGGTGGGGGGTGTTGCCCCCCCGTCCATAACCCCCCCCAATCCCCTCGCACAGTGAAGGGGAACAGCAAGCCTGGGCTCTTCTCACTGATTTTTGCCTGTGTACTTGTGAGTCGCTGTACCCCTCTGCCCCCCCCCCCCATTCCCCTGCACCCCACCCCCACCCCGCTGCTTCCCCCTACCCCAAAGGGCTTCTACCACACCTGTATGTTTACTCACCTGTATGTTTAGCCACCTGTATGTCTACTCGCCTGCTGCCGCCACTAGTAACGTATGTACACAGCAACTTTCCTCGTGTGTACAGCTCATTCATTGCAACCCTGCACAGCGGTCAGAAAGTCAATGCGCCTTTTGATTATTTGGCCCCCCGCCGTCACTTTCAGAAGAGTTACAAATGTTTGGAACGATAGTGATTGTTGCGAACTATCACAGTTATTCTAAGGTGGCATTGATGGAGATGGTTGCTGGCTATGATGGTGATTGTAAGGTGGCAATGATGGAGATGGTTGATGGTGGCTATGATGGTGATTGTAAGGTGGCATTGATGGAGATGGTTGATGGTGGCTATGATGGTGATTGTAAGGTGGCATTGATGGAGATGGTTGCTGGCTATGATGGTGATTGTAAGGTGGCAATGCTGGAGATGGTTGATGGTGGCTATGATGGTGATTGTAAGGTGATAATGATGGAGATGGTTGATGGTGGCTATGATGGTGATTGTAAGGTGGTAATAATGGAGATGGTTGATGGTGGCTATGATGGTGATTGTAAGGTGGTAATGATGGAGATGGTTGCTGGTGGCTATGATGGTGATTGTAAGGTGATAATGAGATGGTTGATGGTGGCTATCATGGTGATTGTAAGGTGGTAATGATGGAGATGGTTGCTGGTGGCTATGATGGTGATTGTAAGGTGGTAATAATGGAGATGGTTGCTGGTGGCTATGATGGTGATTGTAAGGTGGTAATGATGGAGATGGTTGATGGTGGCTATGATGGTGATTGTAAGGTGGTAATGATGGAGATGGTTGATGGTGGCTATCATGGTGATTGTAAGGTGGTAATGATGGAGATGGTTGCTGGTGGCTATGATGGTGATTGTAAGGTGGTAATGATGGAGATGGTTGATGGTGGCTATCATGGTGATTGTAAGGTGGTAATGATGGAGATGGTTGCTGGTGGCTATGATGGTGATTGTAAGGTGGTAATGATGGAGATGGTTGATGGTGGCTATGATGGTGATTGTAAGGTGGTAATGATGGAGATGGTTGCTGGTGGCTATGATGGTGATTGTAAGGTGATAATGATGGAGATGGTTGCTGGTGGCTATGATGGTGATTGTAAGGTGGCAATAATGGAGATGGTTGATGGTGGCTATGATGGTGATTGTAAGGTGGCATTGATGGAGATGGTTGATGGTGGCTATGATGGTGATTGTAAGGTGGCATTGATGGAGATGGTTGCTGGCTATGATGGTGATTGTAAGGTGGCAATGCTGGAGATGGTTGATGGTGGCTCTGATGGTGATTGTAAGGTGATAATGATGGAGATGGTTGATGGTGGCTATGATGATGATTGTAAGGTGGTAATGATGGAGATGGTTGATGGTGGCTATGATGGTGATTGTAAGGTGGCAATGATGGAGATGGTTGATGGTGGCTATGATGGTGATTGTAAGGTGATAATGAGGAGATGGTTGATGGTGGCTATGATGGTGATTGTAAGGTGGTAATAATGGAGATGGTTGATGGTGGCTATGATGGTGATTGTAAGGTGGTAATGATGGAGATGGTTGCTGGTGGCTATGATGGTGATTGTAAGGTGATAATGAGATGGTTGATGGTGGCTATCATGGTGATTGTAAGGTGGTAATGATGGAGATGGTTGCTGGTGGCTATGATGGTGATTGTAAGGTGGTAATAATGGAGATGGTTGCTGGTGGCTATGATGGTGATTGTAAGGTGGTAATGATGGAGATGGTTGATGGTGGCTATGATGGTGATTGTAAGGTGGTAATGATGGAGATGGTTGATGGTGGCTATGATGTTGATTGTAAGGTGGTAATGATGGAGATGGTTGCTGGTGGCTATGATGGTGATTGTAAGGTGGTAATGATGGAGATGGTTGATGGTGGCTATCATGGTGATTGTAAGGTGGTAATGATGGAGATGGTTGCTGGTGGCTATGATGGTGATTGTAAGGTGGTAATGATGGAGATGGTTGATGGTGGCTATGATGGTGATTGTAAGGTGGTAATGATGGAGATGGTTGCTGGTGGCTTTGATGGTGATTGTAAGGTGATAATGATGGAGATGGTTGCTGGTGGCTATGATGGTGATTGTAAGGTGGTAATAATGGAGATGGTTGCTGGTGGCTATGATGGTGATTGTAAGGTGGTAATGATGGAGATGGTTGCTGGTGGCTATGATGGTGATTGTAAGGTGATAATGATGGAGATGGTTGATGGTGGCTATGATGGTGATTGTAAGGTGGTAATGATGGAGATGGTTGCTGGTGGCTATGACGGTGACCCTGCGTGTATGTGTTGCCCACAGAGCGCGAGCGGGAGGCCGACTCCAGCGGGCAGGCGGCGCTCATGCCCTACACGCTGGTGCGGCCGTGTCGCCCTCCGTGCCGTCGCCCGGTGTTGCTGCTGCCCTCGTTCCTGTGTCGCATCGTCTACCCCAAGTTCACGGGCCCCGATTTCACCGAGTGTCCCATGGGTACGCGCACAGCCGCGCACGCCGCACGCACGGACCCCCGCTGCACTCACACACACACACACACGACTGCTCGTACATAAAAGAGGGTGGAATGATAATTCACAACCCGGGAATGCAATGATTTGTCTTGACTCCGAGAAGCAATTCCCTTTAAACACAAAAAATAATCGATTTTTCAATATGGCAGTCAATCGTAGCGCCTGTAGTGGATGGAGAGATGATGTGAACCCATTAATACGACGTACGAATCTAACCACATCGACTCTCACATCTGTGCGATTTGCCGCACGTATCACGAACTTAAAATCAATATGAACCGCTAAATCGACGCACCTCCCTTCACCCCCTATTTGACGTGAACGAACGTTAAATATCCTCCATACCATCGTGTACAGACCTGTTGGCAAAAGTGCTCTCGGCAGGCACCCATTACGGCTGACATGGCCAGCACCGTGGCGAGCTCCACATTGATGTTTCCGCACCACAGCGAGTTGTCATCGTGTAAGGCTGAGTAGAGCTAGTGGTGGTGCAGGATATGTTTAAGCGCCACTCGCCATTTGTTGCGCAGGAGCACTGATCGGAACACCGGTCGTCAGAATAAAAGTTTAGCGCGCTAATCACTGCCACCACTCCCAATTAGAGTGTGTGTATATATATACACAGTAGAACCCCTCTTAACGACGGTAATTGGTTCCACTTAACAGTTCGTTAAGTGATTTGGTCGTTACGCGAGTATAGCAAATACACGTTAAAGGCTTAATTCTTCCGATAGCATCGAAAGTTACCATTTTTTCACGCAAAAAACGTACTTTATAATATTTAAACAACGGATATTGATACATGAAGATACTAACAACGTTATAAACACATGACATAAAAGAAACGCTGTTAACCAATGCATTAATTAATATTTACTGTACCTACAACAGCCCGTCGTTAGCAGGGGAATGGTCGGTTTAGCGAACACATTGGGCTCTATGGAGGCACTACACTACTTTACACTACACTATACACTACACATTGGGCTCTATGGAGGCCTGTCGTTACGCGATTAGTTGTTAACACTCGGTCGTTAAGACGGCGTTTTTTTTTGCTCGCGACGCTGTCTGTTTGCCTTGGCGAATTATTATTGGCCAAACGTCAAGTCGAGCGACGTGTCCCCACACAGGCGGCACATGTGACGAACGGCAAGTTCCAACACCGAAGAGATTTGTGCCAAACGTCTTATTAGTCCCGGCATGACGAGCTATTTTGTTCCGCTCGCTGCAGAATCAACTCTTTCCCCCCCCCCCGCCCCACCTTCCAAGAGCTGCTATCCCCACACAACCGTTCCCCGGAGCTGCTGGCCAGGGTCCCAGAGCCACAGCGGCACAAGCGGCTTCATCTTTCTCCGCTCAAAGCAGCGATGATCGTGGTGCAGACGTAACCTCGCAAGATGTTTTTGTTGCGTACAGTTCGTGTGCACGCCCGCGAATGTTTATGTGGCGGTACAGTCGGTGTATACACGCAACATTTCTGGACACGCAAGTAAAGTGTTGTCCGTAAAAATGTGCACGGCCATTGTTTATGCGAATCAGAATTTGTTTGTGAGACTACGGTGCACGCATTCATGATTTATGAAATATCATGAAGGGTCAAGAGCTTAAAATAGCTTAACAATGGCATATACAGACTATTCTAATAGTTTGGCCTGGTCGCTGAGTGAGAGAACGAGTGGCTCGCAATCGCAAGGTTGTGAGTTCACATCCTGGTTTTTTGGGTTTGCCTCAGCCCGTCCACTTTTGTGAAAAAGTCAAGTGGTTGTCCTGTAGATGGACTCACTCCTGCCATAGGAATGGAGAGTATCCACCACTGACTCAGGGATGCGGACAGCAGAAGAGCCATATCCTCATTTGAGCAAGAACTCTCTTTGACCCTCTTGCGACAGTCCCAGTATGCTCGGCAGCGTGCGACTCCACCGACTATGCAACGCTGTGCCTGTGACGCTTCTCACCTCCTCGTGCCAACCCCGCACCTCCCGATTTACCATGGTTGGCTACGTACGGTGCAATAGAAGTTCAGCATACATACACGATGCACGGACGCCATTTGGAATGCAGCGTTGGACGCTTACTGTCAAGTTTCGGTGGATTTTGTGGACGGTCCGTACATACAGAACGGAAAACGCGTAATTTCCTCAAAATCTAGTAAACAAAGTGTGCCCGGCTCCGACAAGAATTCGGTGGAAATTCCACGTTCCTATGACAGGCATCAGCTAACCCATGGAACCGCTGCTGCCAACTCCTCACAAAGTGGCGTCGAATTGCTTTAACAAAGAATATAATAAACCGTCCGAATAGGCTGAACTATTCCTCGCCTTGTTACCTAGAACTAGAATGGAAATGCTGCAATGGTTAACACACTGGACTCGCAATTTGGAGGTCGGCAACTCGATCCATCTTTAGGCGCGGCAGTTGAAACAACGGTGCAAGTTTCTTGAATCCCCCACGACGCCTCTTTCCACGCAGAAGTGTATATGGGTTCACTACGGTTAGTTCCGTCGGCAGGTTGAGTGCAGCAGGGCTAAAGGCGTGGCTTACAGCCACCTCTTCCAACACGTCTGTCGACGTGGAAGAGAAGACCAAAGAGCCTCTCGAGTTGGCTCTAGTGGAAGCTCTTCTGCCAGAAGTGATGTGAACAAGGAATTTCAGTGCTGGACCTCTTGTTTTTTTTTCTTTCATTTTTAAGGTGGAAATAGTTATGCCCTTGGCAGTTATGTACAGATATGGGTTTGCTGGTTTTTTTAATGCTGATTTCAAGAGATAACCTGGCAGCCATTCCTTTGGCACCATGGGCTCGTGAAGCTCAAAGCCACACACTAAACAGTTTTTTTTTCCTCATGGTTTAGCCGGCAGATGGCATCGGGCCCCACATGGGCTCCAGGCCAAGCCGATAGCATGCACAGCTTTTGTTTGGGAAATGTACGGTTGTGCAACTTCCTTGTGCAAATAAATCATCTCCCGTCTCCAAAAAGGGCAGAAAGAGGCGTGTTCCGCCTCCGTTAAGGTCCCTCCGAGCCGCACGTGATCGGTCGACCGACAATCGGGGCCCCGCTTATCCGGCGTGATCCCACGTTTAGAAGTTTGAAAATAGTTCATACTTGGGCCTCCTATGGAATCGGCTGGGGTGGCTTTGAGAGGATAAATTAACTTGTGCGGCAGTATATTTGGCCTTAAAATTTCGTGAGATAAAACCGGCACAGAGATCGGGTTCATTTGTACGTTACCTCGACAGTGTTGCTGACCACCATATGAACAATTATGTTGTCACTTTGTAGCAAGTTGTTAGTCTCTCCTTCCCAGTCACAAATAACTGCACACAAAACTAAATTGTTAACATTTTCGCTGGGCACATACTTAAATCAAACTCTGCCAAAGTTTTTGTTGTTGTTCTAATGAGTGGGGCACAGAGAGAACGCTGTACAAATTCACCCACTTTGTCCATGATGGACCCTGGAAGGATGTTAGACTGAGGGCCCATTACATCACTTCCGCCCATTTTACAAATGAGACACGCGTAGCCTCGGCTCCTCCACGGAAGACAACTAACGTCTCCTCTCCCGTGTGCTCTGTTTGATCTGGCGGACACAAAATAACTGGCAACAATAAAACTCGAAAAGGGTTAAAGGAAGAAAAAAGTGGCCCTGGGGGGGGGCGGGGGGGGGGGGTGGCTGGGGGAAGGGATGAACTCGCCTGCGGGACAGCAGACGGCACACAAACAAAGTCGGGGCACGGGGCTGGCGGCACTCGCCGCCGCCATAGGGGGAAGAGACCTCCCGAGCCGGAACGTCTGCCAATTCCCAGTGCGCGCGCGCTTGCTCGCTGTTTACGGATGCGTGGCATCTAAACGGTGCGCGATTTTGGTGCATGGCAATCCCCTGTAATCCGTGTTTCCTTCCGCCGCAAATTCAGGCTGGCACATTTGCATACGTAAATATAACTATGGTGTTCTAGATTTGAAGCTTTCGTGACTGCAAGGATCCATACTCTTTGGTTCTATTCGGTAAAGTCACGTAGGTAAAAAAATAAAAAAAACAAAAATCACGACGTTGCGGCCACAACACAAGCGGCCTTCATCAGGTGAAGAGGATCAGGCTTCCACTCCAGCGCTGTCCTCGAGACAGCCTGATCCCTTCACCGGATGAAGGCCGCTTGTGTTGTGGCCGAAAACGTCGTGATTTTTGTTGTTTTATTTTTTTACCTACGTGACTTTACCGAATAGAACCAAAGAGTGTAACTATGGTGTACGCGCGGCTATGTGTGTGCGCACGCATTTCGGTGCCTGCCTTTGTGTTTTTTTTGTTTATGTGCGTTCGTGCCTATCTTCGGTCGCACCGATGTAAACATGTTTCGACGTACGTGTATGCGTATGTACGTACACGCCACCGTGTATGTCTGCAGAGTAGTTCACGGTAAATACTGTAACTCGGCATGAAATACATACCCAATTGCAGTGCGGTCAATATCAATAGGGGACTATCTTCTTTGGTTCTTTCGGTAAAGTCACGTGGAATGAGAATAAAATAATAAATTAATAAAATAAAATAACACAATAAAATTCTCACGACGTTTCGGCCACAACACAAGTGGCCTTCATCAGGTGAAGGGACGAGACTGTCTGGAGGACAGCGCTCCAGCAGTGACTTTACCGAAAGAACCAAAGAAGATGAATCCTTGCAGTCACGAAAGCTTTAAATCGAAATAGGGGACTACGTAAGAAACTGTTGGCTAGTGCTGCTGGCCGCAGTGCTAGGTGCCGTAGCATCCCCTCCTGTGCAATATCACAGCAAAGGCTAAACCAGACAGTTGGCGAAAGCATTTTTATTTTCTATCGACCGCTTCGAGCAAACGCTTTTGTTCATATTCCTGGTTCTTTCGGTAAAGTCACGTAGAAGGGAAACAATAAAATAATAATAAACAATATAAAACAATTAAATTCTCACGATGTTTCGACTGCAACACAAGCAGTCATCATCAGGTGTGAAAAACCACAGCAAGAAAATTTGAAAAAAGTGGCGGTTATTTTTTCTTTGTTCGTGTTTTGTCCGTGCGAACGACTGCACGGCTTTAGGTTTTCGTCGTGCGAAGTTGTGCCCTGCCGCTCTCGTTCCTGCCTCCTCGTGTTCCGCGACGCGTGCAGAGGAAGCGCAGAGAGAGGAGCTGGCGGAAAGGCAGCAGAAGGGCGACCTCCTGGGCTGGAGGGAGGAGAAGAACAATTCGGTGACCGTGTGCAGCGTCCGCGGCGTCGAGGAGGTCATCGCCACGGTGCGTCCGCTGCTGCATCCTGCTCGCGTCCCTGCGTCGCCCGCCCGACGTCGAGGCCGCGATGAGGCGCCGGGGGGGGGGGGGGGGGGTGGTGGGGGGGGGAATCGCAGGGCAAATCGTTCAGAATCGGAATCTTTATTTAGACTGGCCGAGGAATCTCTCCGATGAGCTATGAAGCTCTTTGTCACAGATGGTCCGTCCGGGGACGGCTCGGCAAGTTACAACAAAAGGAGTACAAAGTATAGGAAGGGGTAAGCAAGTCACTGAAAAGGAATAAATAAATTGCAAAGGTATTTCAATGCCTGCCGAATTTTTCATACAATAAATGCAATCTCGGGCAAGACGGCAAAACAACAACAACAACAGTCTCAGAACACAGCAAGAAAACACAGTAGTCCCTCAATAAAAGTGCACATTCAAATTGAACTATGTACACACGGGTAAGGATTAAAGTTACAAATCACATTTGCAAATGTGCTTGTGTCCAGCACTGATCGTCTGCTTCAGGATATTTATTTGAAGAAAGATTTACGATGTGAAGGGAGGGAAACAATGTTGTTCAAGAACGTTTGGCACTGCAACGGCAAGCGCTTTGTCACATATTCTTATTCTCGTTCTTGGGAAAGTTAATTTTATGGCATTACATTTTTTTTAATTTGCTAGAAATAATTTCTAATCTTTAGAGTTCTCTGCACATTTAATCTTATTTCTTAATTAAGGTTTATGCCTATTTCATATACGTAATACTGTTAGAGTTACAAAGGGTTTAAAAAACAATCTGAACATTGGGTCACATTGACCTCTAATGCTCATTTCTCATTGCCGGTTTGACCATGTGGCATTTTACAGATTTGGAGAACCCGCCCAAGTGCATAGCGAAAGGCAAAAGTGTCTCGGTGTGCGCGCATCAATCGTGTGTCTCGGTGCAGGTGACTCAAAGCAACGACTTGGCTTGCAAGTTGGAAAAGATGGCATGAGCCGCTGCTTCACCCAATGCCTCGTGTTTGGCTTCACTTGAGGGAAAGCATCGGGGTGACTGACTGGGTTTGGCAGTGGCATAAAAGCGCAGGCAGGAGTATTTTACGACTGTCATTTATGAACATTGCCCTCATGACTGAAAAGCGTTTTGCATGTGGTGAGATCATTGCTGGCAGTTGTCTTTTCCTCTCTCTGCTCTGAAGAAGGGCCATTATCCGAAACGTCCGCTTATTCTTGCTTTTCGGTGATATCAATATGAGTGGTGCAACCTGTTCTGGGCTGTAAATAAGTAGATATATTCATTAACACGCCTGTCAGACTAATATGAGTTTTAGAATTGTTATTCTTCTTCGTGATATATATATTTTTTCACGTTTATAAAGACTTCGTGAACTGCCCTCAAAGAGTTGCAATCCAATGATAAAGGTCTCCCATTTAGCCTTAACACTGTTGGGGCAAGTGCTGTCCACCAGCATCTACAAAGGCCAGCGCGGCGCAGCGGGGATGGGTGGCCAGCAGCTTGCCCGGCCATTTCTGTTACCCTAGGGGTGATATTGCCACATCGCACCAGGTACTCATTTTAGGCCGAGCCGAGTTAGGGGAGGCCCCAGGACTGGGTCAGATAATCATCACTGGTGTTGACCATGAGCAGGTTGCTGGGTTCAAAGTGTGCCAAGTGCTGCGCCACCGCCCCCCAAAACGAGTTGCAATTCGCGCACGCAGACGCGTCAGACATGTTGCAAGTCTGTAACAACTGCTGCAAGCTTTTATCTGCGCTTACGATGAGTTTAGGGTTTGTTGTGCTGCCGTTTGCACATTCTGACCAATGTTCTGAGCCAAGACGGCACTACTGGCAGAGGTCTCGCTAAACTGATGTGCTGCAAAGCGTGCACGATGTTCAAAGATGTGCCAGTGTTTTTGTCATAATTTTTTTGAGAGAGCACAAGCTGTACTTTTGGGGTGGAATAATCATTGACAGGAGGAGACACATTTCCACTGAAACCGGCCACTCTGCTTGAAGCCTGCTCATTTTTTTTTTAACGTGAGTGCATGCTGTGGATAGTTTGAAAAAGACTCATCACTGCGTAGAGCGCCGTAAGTTTCCGCTCAAGCCTTGACAGTTTGTCTTGCTGTAGACGTTTGAGGCCGCATTTTCTCTATGTAAACGTGCGACGCTTTAACGTTCAATTAGCGTTCAGAAGTGCAGTATCGGCCACCATAAACAGGAGCGCATATTTCTCAACAATTGTTTAAAGATGGGCTTTGAAAGATATTTTCCGATTTTTTTTTCATCAGCAACACAAATCCTTCCTCCGCTCAGACATTTACACGCCGCAAAAAACTCCCACTCGCAATGAAAACAAAGCGTGATTTTATGCCGATTGAACGTGTTTTTTTTAGCCCTTACACCGTAATTCGTAACTTGGCCGTCTGCGCGTGGTTGCCGCCTCGTCACGATGCGATTTCGTCATCCACAGGTCGTGCGTGAGTCATCCCCAATCGGGGTTTTCCAAATGCACAATGCGTCTTCACAAAGCGGGTTCACAATGGCGCTGTGCGTGACTGCGGCAGCAATGAAGCAAGGGCGCACGCTCTCGTTCCCCTTTTGTCGGCAGCTCACGCGCGCACGCGCCCCAGTTACACTCATCAGAGGCTCTGTTTAGATGAGTTTGCAGTGGTATGTGCGGTCAGGACTGTGCCCTTTGCACCTCCCGCGATTGTGCCTTGATGGCTACGAACGCCTCCTACCTGGTTACTGTGCATCTGGAGTGGTAATACTGTGGTATTACCCACACAGCATCGTTGAACCCACAAATGGTTGCAATTTTTTGTCCCGTGCCAGTTAGAAGTTTGACATTTTCACGACTTGCTTGGTTAGTGTGATGGCTTACAGACTCTCTCTTCTTCAGTTTATACTGCCATTGGATTTCTTACAGTTACACTGACAACGCTGCCAAGCACGTCCTTAAATTAGAGGATAAATAAATAATTTATCGTTATATACCTTCCATATTTGTGTCTCCACGTGAAGTGAATTATGTGTTTTTGTTCATCCCATTGGCTACACGGCCTTCCGGCAGTGCATTGCTTTCAGCAACAAGAATTTTTAATACGAGCAAACTCTGCACCAATATCAACTTTGAGTGTTTCGCCAGCAAAGTCACACTCACTTGAATCAATGTTGGTTAAATTCCAGATGTTTATAGGCAAGGACCCTATCTGTTGGATATGAGTTTTAGTTTGACGTAAAACTATATGATACAGAGCACAAAATAATTTGTGGCGAATATACGCATAAAAATATTTTTTTCCTAATTTGTTATTCCATAATGGCGCAAATTATTATGCTGTACCTGAATTAGAAAGTATCATTGTATGAAGACGCGTAATGATGCATCGCTTCATCCTTTCAGCATCGATTCTTACGCTCGCCACATACAAATAAAACCGTGCTGGTGAAAATCACTCCTATCCAATCCATCTCTTTTGTATGCAAGTAGTTCATATGTCCGCCCTGCAACCACGAGATGCACTGCAATGCACCGCAAGGGTTATTAAAAGATTCTTGAATCGATTCACGACCTCAAATCGTGGCACTTTGGTGAATTGCGAAGGGGGGAGCACGGATGCACAACAGGTCTGGTTGTAACATCGCTGCCGCTCGCCCGCCCCGCGGAGGTACAACGTTTGCCGCCGCGTTTGCTCCCGCGTGTGTGCGCGTGCAGAACAAGCACTGCCTGCTCGACCTGGGACTGGAGTGCATCACGAGGCTGCACCACGCCGAGGTGTACCCCATCATCGTGCACGTGTGCCTGGGCGACAAGAACATTCGCAAGATCAGGTGAGGAGGGGCAGCGCCCCCGCTCTAGATTTCAGCCACCGCTTGTACAAGCCGAACCGTTAAACCCACGGTGCCTGACTGTGATCTCTATGGTCTCGTACCTGGCATGCAACAACAAACGTCCAAACGACGAACGGCTTTCACTTCGTGGAATAAGGGATAGGCGACCGTTTTTTTATTAATTATATTTCAGTCTGAGCACGGTACAGAGCACGAACCGCGGCATGGGGGAGAGGGGGGTACAGAAACCCCGTGGACGTAAGTCCCAAATGCTGTGCTCCTGGATTTAGAGAAGGGAGGAGATTGGCCTCGCTGACCCACCGACCGCAGGTCGAGGGGGTATAGGGGTGGCCACCACTTACTGAAAAGTTATCGGTTAGCGCCACACGGAAAACATTCTCTCTGCCGTGTACGTGCGAGATGACGAACCGCTCCGAAACCACCGGAAAAAAAGTTAGGTCTTCCGCAAACCTCACGTCCGCCGAAACGCACTGAGGACCGAACAGCGGCTGACCAATCGGAGCGATCGGCCGCTGCGTGGCTCGCTCGGGGGGGAACTCACGCGGCACTAAACGCCCTCGCGTCCACGCAGCGCGGCGGCGCTAATGGATGGAAATGTGTTTGATGTCATCTCGCGCCTTGTACACTTGTGCATTTGTCATTGCGTACACAGTGGGAGCATAATATATTATTTATATTCTTGGTTCTTTCGGTAAAGTCACGTAGAAGGGAAACAATAAAATAATAAAAATATGAAACAAATTTTTTTTATTGTTTTATATTTGTATTGTTTTATTGTTTCCCTTCTACGTGACTTTACCGAAAGAACCAAGAATATGAATCCCAGCAGTCACGAAAGCTTTAAATCAAAATATATTATGTGTTAATGTGATTGACACTTGTTTACCTGGGAAAGCCTCGCTGTGTCTCGGTCTCTTTCGGGAGGATGCTTCTCGTGTGGACACTTTGCCGATTTAGTGTTGCCAATGGATGAATGTTTCCGCGGTAGGAGGGCGCTGTTGCTCTGTGTGTGATCCCAATTGAGAAATGTTTTGTAGCCAAGAATGGCCAATCACCTTGGCCCCTCTCCCCACCTCCCTCCATGAGCCACTTTGCCAAAACTTCACGTGGCCGAGAGCCACAAGAAGCTGAAGCTGAGCGGGTCACGTGGGGTGGTCGCATCGATTGGTCGCTTGGGGTGGTCACATGGCCAGCTCGCTCCCTCTGGTCGGCTGTGGACCTTTTGAATCGAGAACTCTGCAGGAGCGCCCTGGGGAGTGCTCGCCACAGGCTGGTCCCGCTTGAAACGTTATTCTTTGTTCCCCGTTGCAAGTTAATTTCTATCTCAAAATTAAACATTAGCTGCCTCTGTCCGGGCTCACTTGAAGTGCCCGTGAGCCGTGGTTTTGGTCACCCCAGCCACACGCTGTACGTGCGGTACTGTCAAAATGTTTTGGGAACAAGTTGTAAAAGGTTTTGTTCAATTTCCTTTTATATCTTTCTCAGAACGTCTTGACTCACTTCTTTGTAGACAGACAAAAGACTATTGTGTTTTATATTCGACGGAAGAAGTCCCAGTTAGGATGATAAACATTTCCGGTCGCACAAACCGGCATGTACAGAGAAGATACTTGTACGGACACATAGCCAAATTGCCTAACTACGACTAACTAAACAACTGAATGCTTCGACAGCTCTGAAAGATAGCTTTCAGATGAATATCTAGATAAAGTCATTTTTTCACAATAAAATCCCACTCCCTTTGAAGATGACGTAAAATAGGCTCACTCTGGTACTCTGTTTGAGCCCTTCCACATTTAATTCCCCGGAGGGATTGACCCCCTACCCTCCTTGCCCCCACTCTCGCCCCACCGCTACCACCACGCTCACCCGACCGCCCGCGATGGCCTTTATTCCCGGCCGCGCGGCTCCCCTCTCATTGCAGGAAGCTGTTAGGCAAGCTGGATCGCTCGGACGAGGAGGTGCTGAGGCAGTGCCGCGCCGAGGAGAAGGCGCTCGAGGCCCTGCCGTGCCTGTACGCGCGCCTCGGCGCCGGGGGACAGCAGAGCTGGGCGAGCGCAGAGGAGCTGGCGCGCGCTGTGCAGGAGCGCGTGGCTGACGAGCAACGCAGGATCGTGTGGATCGGCCTCACCGACCCAGTGCCCAACGAGAAGCAGCCCTGAATACGAGCTTCTCCCCCACCGCCGCTGTCGTTAAGTCGTCTCTCCCCTAACCCCCCCTCCCCCTCCCCACCCCTCCTGCCGGTGGACCCCACGCGCGCGCAGGGGTTGGTCGCTGCGTCGTGTGAACTCGCCGCCTGCGGTTCTGCGGCGATGCGCGCGTCCCTGTTCCGCCGCACATCCCAGCCGCGCCAATGCAGGGCCCTCGCAGGGGGCACGTGGTTTTTCTCACTGCCCGTTTCCCGAGCTGAGGCAGAACCAACCTGTGAAACTCCCGGCCTCGCGAGACGCCTCAGTCTGGCTCGTCAGGGGTGGGCAGAGTTACGCGCGTGACATTGGCGGGTGCAGGTCTGGTTCCGCAGTTCCTCTCGAGCTGCGCCAGGCTGGCTGGGCATGGCCCCGGCACAGCTAGGCTCAGTTCCACAGTGGAAAGAGGTAACGGCGTCGCAATCGCCTCGTCGCGAGAGCCGTTGATGCAGGGTTGTGGCTGTCGTGGCCAGTGGCCTGGCACCTGGCTCTCTCGAGGAGCTGCATAGGAGTCGAATGGAGTTTGCGTAATGTGATGGGCACTGCAGGGTAAATCATCTGTGCCAGGGTATGGTTTTGTGAGCCTGGCTTCCCCTATCAAGTGAATGGAGCCCTTGTTGGACTGGTAAGGCCCACTGAGCTATGTAGTTTTCTTTTTTCAGAAGCGACCTGAGGACAATTGGTAGCTTGACGAAGTGGCTTATGTGGGAAGGTATAGCAGCCAATACTCTAAATGTGGAGGGAAAAACCGGAGGACCTGGAGAAAAATTCCATGAGACCACGGGGAGAGAGAACATGCAAACTCCAAATATACAGCAGGCGTCAGGGTCAGGATCGAACACACGACCTCCTGTACACCAGGCGAGGTAGTTAACATCTCACCACGGAGAGAGAGAGAGACACGCAAACTCCAAATATACAGCAGGCGTCGGGGTCAGGATCGAACACATGACCTCCTGGAAACCAGGCGAGGTAGTTAACATCTCGCCATTGCGGTGCCTCAACCAAGCGCTCGATGGAGCGGGACAGCTGGCTGCGAGTCCACTTTGTTACGCGCCGGTGCCTGTCTCTAAAATGCCATTCCTTCCAAATCCCACCTGGAATTGCACGGGATTTTTTTTTTTTTTGCTTGAGAGATATCGACTGTAAGTAAAATGAACAAAATTGTCAAGGTTCGATTGTTTTTATTTTCAGCAGTTATTTTGTTTTAATGCTTTTGACACTGTTCAGAATAAACGAGCGGAATTGTGCCTTCACACTTTATATGCTTTTGATAAGTCCCTGTGTGCCATTGTCGTAAACCAAAAGCAGCCGCAATGTGTGGAGCTGCCAAGTTGGACAACGATTTTCACTGGATTTTCACGATAACATTTTAGCTGCTAATTTCACTGTTTCTCTTAACCCTGCCATAGTCTTGTTTACTGCACTTTCGTAGTGTGCATTTGTGCGGTCAATACACCAAACAAATGAAAACGCAAATGAAAAGGACGGGTAATTTCACGTGAATAATCAATGTGGTTTAAGCTGTGAAACGCAGACAAATAACAGTGCTGTATTGTATATAATTAATTTTCTGGATAGGAGGATTACTTTGTACCTCTATACTTAACAATTTAGTTCAGAAGTGCATGCGGGGCAGTATGAGCCACGATGCAAAAATTCTGGCAGCGGAGTGAAGACCGGTCTGAATTCTGTCAAAAGTGGGTGCGCGATTTAGGCACACTAATTCTGTCGTGTTTTTAAATTCTGACACTGGCTCATGCTTGTGCCGCGCGTGCAAAAGCATTACCAAAGGTCACAAGAGTCTTCCACTTCAGTGGCCGTTCACCGGTGTACTTATACTTGAGTGGTAAACACGCATCCTACAATTGACCCAAGTGTCCACCTCTATTTCAAGCCACACCGTGAAAGGTGTGCCTGGTCACTTTGCTATCCTAGAATTTTTACGAGAGGTTATTCAGACGATAGCTCTCTTTTGGAGTATATTGTTTGAATGAAAGGAATCGCGTTTCAATCGGTAAATTGTTGTAACGCTTAATTGACACGGGGACAAGGAAATGCGGTTGCACGCACGACCGAGACACACGCGCAGGCACTCTGAGGGGGAAACGCTTTGTCAAACGTGCACACACGGAACAAATCTGGCCTGCTGACATTACTTTATGCAAAATCTGCCGGAGGAATACGGTTTCCTGATGAGGCACTCACGGTGGGAAGCCAATGCAGGCGTTAAATGCTTTGAGCCGTCAATGCTTGTGGACAGCTGTGATAGCGGTTTTGCCAACAAGGTCTGAGTGTACAAACTGGGCTCGCATGGCCACCCACATGTATCCGTGCGTATCCACACAGTATACGGGGTGATCCATTTATAGCTGAACAATTTATTTAGCGATGTGACTGCTTCGGCAGTTGTGCCCAAGCGCCAGTAACAACACGCTCAACACGTTCGTCATGGGCACGGTGGCCCTAAAAGGAAAAGTATATAATAGGCTGGTTTGGGAAATGTCTTTATCAATTTCAGGTTGTGCTATGAAGAAGGGCCATTGCCTGAAAGGTCACAATTTATACAAACACCACGAAAATAGTTTGGAGACATTTTATAGACAACCGCATTTTAAGTCAAAGCCTCTTCAGTTCTTGCAGTGTTTTGCTCGTAAAGCGTCTTATGTTGTGGTGGAACCCGCACACAGTTCCCATGGAATAGACCTGTGTGTGTACGTGTTTGCGTGCGAACCCGGCGACCCGAGTTTGATTGCCACTCGCGGCCACCACCAGTGACGATTATGTGAACCAGTCCTGGGCTTCCCCTAGGTCGACGCGGCCTCAAATGAGTACCTGGTGCGGTGTGTAAACATCGCCACGAGGGAGACAAAGCCGGCCGGGCCTGGTCACCCATCCCCTGGGATGATGTGCCAGCCTTCATAGGTGCTCACGAACAGCATTTGCCCCAACAGTCTTTAAAGGCTATACGGGGGATGATTATCTTTTTTTGTGTGCGTGCGTGCGTGCATGCGTGCGCGAGCCACAGATCCAATAATTTCAGTTCGCACTACCACATTCCTTCTCGATAATATGTGGAGCCCATCGCATTAACAATATTCGGTCACCCTTTGAGACGAAAGCAAAAGGGTTATGAGTGGTGTACCTATATAAATGTTTCACCCTGTACTAATTTTCTCAGTGGTTCGTACACACATTACACATTGTTTTTAAACTGCACCATACTTTTAAACTATGCGATGTTACACGTGACGTTTTATACTGCAACATGACAATGTTTTATTCAATCGTGTTTTAGTTTTTGTTAATGTTTTCTAAGTATGCAGATTTTAAAGTATCCAACTTCATATCCTCCTCGGTGGTTGTTGGAATAGACTTTTTTTTCTTTATTTGTTACGATAATTCGTGCTGCAGTAACTGGTTTGTATTTACAAGATGCAGTCGAGATATACGTCCCAGGTTGTATGTGAATTCGCCAGGGCTGATCCTTCAGTAAATATGCCTCCTGTGCTTAAAATTCATGAAATGTTCATCTGAAATGTGTCAAAAAATTATTTTCTACTTTTGATCTTGTCCCATGCATCCTGTGTACTTCCATACCTGGTGGCTGATCACAACATTTAAAGAGTTACAATAAAATGTGACGAGTCCCCTGCCTCAGAAATATGGAATTGTTAAAACCGGCTCAGGACCGCGAAATGTTGTAAGTGTCGCTGCGTTTCGGGGGAGATCATTTGATTTGACGTGAATAGAATTCAATACAATGTTATGCATATGTAGACTTATTTTGATACCCTCCCTTATTCAGTATATATGAACACTCGTAGATAATGTTCACACTGGTCATATTACATCCTAGTCATTGATCTACTGTTCAGAAAATAACATTGGTACACTGGCATGAATTGCTATGTTTATAAATAGTGTGTGTGTGAGTGTTTACATTAACTTGCCTACTCTTTTTTTTATTAAATCCCTCCATTTTAAATATGTATTTCACAAAGAGTGACATTCTATATTCACGCATCGCACGAGTGTATAGTTTTTTTTGTCGTTAATAAAAAAATGTGTTTTCACTACTGGACATTCCCAGGAAGCACACACGCACCCCTTGGTAATAAAGCATCGTCTGGTATCATTAAAACGGGATTGATTGCGTACATGAGAGCTTGGTGGCTCACGTCGCTTCTGGTTCGGGCGTGTCATGGTCAGCTGCTCGGGTTGCGATTTACCCTGGGAGAAATGCAACTCCTATCGAATCGTCCCAACAAGAATGAACGAATTAATAATCAATTGTCCCGGAATTGTGTTCGGACGTTTTTCAAGGCATCCCCCCGTCGGTTTCGACGTGCAAGATGGCCTTGGTCGTTCTCGCTTTGCGGCGACGCGGCCCAGTGCGATGGGGGGAGGGGGGGGGTACCGTTTTTGGCCGCTTGTCACGGAGGTTTTCGCAGTTCGATTCCGCAAATACCCGCCGTGGTTTTGCTCCTGCTGCTGCTGCTGGGAGTTGTTTGAGCATCGAAATGCCACGCGCCCGCGTGCTTCCCAGCCGGGGGTCAAAGACTCCCCGACGTCACCCGACGCGAGTTGGGTCATCGTGTGCGGGCTTTATGGGGTCCACATTTGTCGCCTTGGAAATGTAGCCGCGAATTGCTGTATTGGGATTACGTGGAGTGGCATCGCCTCCCTCCTGTGAAACCACTGCGCGGGCTGAAACGGCACATTCGCGATGGCCTTTGCACTGATAAGAATGGCGCGAATAGCAAATGTTGCGAAATTATTACAGCATAATCATCGCAGCAGCAGTGTCATCATCATTGCCACGACTTACAAAACGAATGCTCTTCCATTCATTTTGAATATCAGCGCTTCCGTCATCACAATAAGTGCATCGCCATTACATCCCACCCTCATTCCATACAACAAACTATGTCGCCAGCAAAACATTTCCAAGTGCCGTATACAGCATTTGTAAATATTATGGTCGAAAATAAACTCAATGCCAACTATCCATCAAAATAATAGTCCTTTACATTAATTTATGAAGGCCCGAGTCTGACAGTTTATTCAGGAGAGTTTTGAAGTAGGGTGTATGATATGGTCAGTTCCTGTAAATGATGATGAAGACACACAAAAAAAAACAGAACTACGCTCGCATGTTAACCAACGACGATAAAAATGCAAGGGCTAGTGTGTCGTTGCATACTTCCCATGCCCTTCACATTGCGAGTGGCAAGATGGAACATTCCAATAAAGACCGATTATCTCAATGCTTTGGCTGTGCACAACCCTTATATGGCAACGATTATGGGCCCTGTCGGTGGCTTTTTTTTCTCGTGACTTCGGTGGGGTCACATGCGCCAGGGCTGCCGAGGAGCGTTGGGCCGAGTTGGTCTTCCCCGTTTCTGAACCGTTGCCAGGTTTCGCTTCTCAATGCGCGCAATGTGTTGAAGAGGCTCAAGCGTTCTACTCCACAGCTACTCAAGCGGGCGCGCGCGCGCGCACACACACTCACACACACACCCAGAAACACTGAGATCGGGTGGGCGGGGAGGGAATATCCTATTCCAGCTGATGAAAGAGATCTCGGGGTCGCTGGGGTTGGGACTGGAATGGGTGAATCTCAAGAATGGGGGCTGACCAGAGTGACCGCGACACCACGTGTGTAGATGACGGTGCCATTGGAAAGCTACGGCCGCCAGAGCCAGCTTAAAACTCGACGGAACAACCCCGAGTCATGTCGACG